TTATAAACCCATTAGCAGCGTAGAATTAAAAAATATTGTTGCCACTATATAAAATGATTCTTTCTTTATTCCAGAGATCTTCTTATGTGAGTCCAGAACTTGCCACGTACCAACATATCTTCGACCAGTCCAATACCTCATAATATTACTGAATCTGTGTTTTTTATCGAAAGAGGTATTCCAGGCGTGTTTGGATTGGTCAGCGTACATCAGACAGTGGGAAAATTGGTTGCAATGTCTAATAATAATCGGCGTATTTTTATGTACGGTAAGATATACATTACTTTTACTCTAATACACAGTATATTTGATTAACTAATTATTTTAAGTATTGAGGTTCTTAAGTAAAAAAAAATACTTTTACCTTTCAATACAAACATATATACTTATTTTAATTTACCAAATCATGGTATACTTAATTTTAGATTTATTATAGTTAGTTTTTCTGAAATAACTATGCATTTCGACGTAAAAACATTTCCACGTTATGTCTTATATTGCGACTTCACACAAGTGGAATAAAAGTATTGAGGTATTGATTTTGAAGCAAGAGACTACCGTATTAGGACTGAATAAAGTTTACGAAAACGAATATAATTTTATCTAGACTAGACATAAATTGAATGTCGTGGTGGCCCGGAGGATAAGGAGCCCGCTTCTCGTGCATGAGGATGTGAGTTCGAAACCTGGCAAGTACCAATGTGACTTTTTCCGAGTTTTAAGTACTTTCTATGATTATTTAGACACCACTGACAAACGGTGAAGGCAAACATCGTGAGGAAACCTGGACTTATAGTTTTTAATTATAAGTTTGAAATCGCCAACCCGCATTGAGCAAGCGTGGTGATTCATGCTCAAACCTTCTCCGTGTGAGAAGAAGCCTTTGCTCAGCAGTGGGAACTTATAGGCTGATGATGATGAGACATAAAAACTACGAAGAATCGTCTTCAAAAACGTATAATTTTAATGGATTTATGTATTGAACGTTTCAGATACCAAGTTGGGATAACGGTGCAATAAGGACAAACACGTCAAGTTGGCAGCACGATATAGCAGCTATCACCATATTCTTCTGTTGGCTAGAGCTCATGATGATCATCGGTCGGTTCCCAACGTTCGGGTTGTACGTTCAAATGTTTACCACAGGTATTTATCTTTATAAATATAAATTTATAGAACACCTGTTAGCAAAAGTTTACGTAGTTCCGCCCAACCAGAACCAGACCTGAGCGTAAGGCGCGTACTGTTCTCCGCGCCTCAAAGAGCTAACAGACCATTACAAATAGGGGTCAGTGGGTCATCTTAGGGCCCAACAGGGCTGATGTTCAGCCGGGTTTGCGGGTTAAGCATAATAATATACCGCGGCCTCGGCCAAAAGCAGAAGAAGGGACGGGGTGGTTTTAGTCAGTAAGAGTCTAACACTACTTACATCTCGCCTCACCTTGGGCGTGACCTAGTCATTTGGTGAATTTCGCCCCTCAGTTTTTCAGGCGGCAAAAACGAGCAGACGGATTACCTGATAGTAAGCAATCGGCGCAGCCCATGGATGGGTGTCTATGGGAGACGCCACTATAGTAGTTACGAGATGAGGGTTACGGATATTTAAGGATTGGGAAGGAATGGGAGGAGAGGGAGAATTGGGCCTTCGGTAACTTCACTCGGACGGCAAAACACAACGCTGTGGTTGTTTCGCGTCAGTATTCAGTGAGGCTGTGGTGTTACTCCGGTCGTGCCGACCCATTTGTGCCAAAGCATGGCTCTCCCACACTTTAATACTGGGAGGAATGTGGTTCCAATGGTATTATTATTAACTTCAACCTTTTTTTTCAAATTCCAGTAACAGTAAACTTTGCAACATTTTTACTGGCGTACAGTTGCCTGCTCATAGCATTTGGGCTCGCATTCAGCGTGCTATTTAGCAACTATGCTGCGTTCAAACTACCGGCCAGTTTGGTGAAGACAGTGATGATGATGTCGGGCGAGTTGGAGTACGAGGACATATTCTATAGTAACAGTACCACGGAGTCCGACTATCCTGTCACCGCGCACGGAATGTTCCTCATATTTGTTTTACTCGTTACTGTTATACTGACCAATCTGTTGGTTGGATTGGCTGTCAGCGATATTCAGGTACGCATTTAAGTCTTATTACAGTCACTTCTCGAAGCCACATAATGTGTAAGGGCCAAATATCTTTCAACTGTAGTACTCGAAGATACGACGTATTTAATTAAAAAATCAAAGTCTTGTCTTAGTAACTTTACCTAAGCGTCGTAATCATCAATCACTACATAATTTACGAACTTTAATAGTATTCTATGTGTTAAACGATATTTAACTTTGATAAAATGGTAGTAAGTAGACTTCACAACACAACTTTTTTACATCAAATAGGTATTATGAATTTGCCAGATACATAAATACTGAAATTAAGCCTTTGCATAAATTAAATCAGGAGAGTTTTGCTATTTTCTAAAAGTCTAATAGATTTTTTTTCCGGTATTCATGTTATTCATGATCCATTATAATTAAAAACTATTATTTTTATTTTCAGGCGTTACAAGAGAGCGCTGGCCTGGACCGACTAGTTCGTCAGACACAGTTAGTTGCGCATTTAGAGAGTATGCTGTTCAGCTCATTGCTGACTTGTGCACCCAAGCAGTTGCTAGGCGTGTTACGCTGGGGGGCGCTGCTAACCGCCTCGCATACCCGCACGCTTACTATAAGACCAAACGATCCTAGGGAAAATAGGGTAAGACCAAATATAACTTAAGCCACATCCAGAGCAGGAGAAGGACCGGAGGGGTTTAAGTCAGTAAGAGCCTGATACCGCATCCCGCCCGATTCTGTGCGGGAGAAGTGATTTGATGATTTTCCCCCACAAAAAGCCACACAGAACACAAGCGACTCATACACCATCTATAATTAGATAATTTTTATTTTCTAAGAATTGCTGGGTGGTTTTATTAAGGGCAATTTTCTATGGGTCCAATCCCTTAATAGTTAAATATGGATATACCGTATCTTTTTTAGGGGGGCATTTCATCAAATAATTTCTGACTGTCTGGGCGAGGCTAGAGGGAGTGTTAGGCTCTTACTGTCAAAAAAATTAACTAGATTCCTTCCACAGTTTCGGCTTCGCGGTACATTATTTAACAAATGCAACATTAGTTATCGATATACCTGTGGACATTATGTTTTTGTTTTCGGAGGCTTTGGACGGCTTCATAAAGTCATCTCAGATCTAAGTTAAAGATATTTCATATATTATTTATAACGTAAAATAGTATAGGACAGTCGAAGAGGCGATAGGTCTCCAGGTTAAAGCTACGTTTGTTGAGGTTCTCTGTAGATGGCCACATATCATAACGAGTTTCCTTCGTGTTTTGTAAATATGGCGATTTTGTTAGTTAAATACGTGCTTAGAAGCATAATAGGTAGTAAAACTTTGAAACTTGAAAGCACAATCTTTAGCTCTTAATTTTTAAACTAAGTTTAATTTAGCTTAATAATACCAAATTATACTTGGGTATCTTCCTATCTTACTTCTATTGAGAAAAATCCTCAACAAAACCCATTATTACTCTTTGATTTCAGATCCCGAAAGACCTTATATCATCAGTATACAAAATGGTGGCCAGCCGGAAGATTATTCAAAAAAGTATCAAGAACAACAACAACTATGTTTTTAGATTAAAAAGATGCAAAGATGAAGAGGACACGATTAAACAGAATCAAGTGAAAAGAAGAAGTAATTTGTTTGACAGATATTCGGTAGAGAGTCAGCAGGTCGAGAGGAGAAAGAAAACCAATTCTACAAGTAACGCGGATCTAGTCAGACCGGCATCACTTAATATAAATGCAATACAAGAAATATGTATGGTCGATATTAAAACACAGTTGCTTGAACTCACAAAGCGAGTGAATAAATTAATAGATACTACAGAGACAAGATTACAACGGATTGAGAACAAACTTAATCATCCGCCGTAAAAAGGTTTTATATTTAAATACTGGCAGTTTTTTATAACGATACATTATTTTTTAATGTGTTCTTTATGGCCTAGTTACCTTTTAAATAAGTACTGGTGTTGGTGAATAAGATTATGTATGTACTTACTTAATAAAGTTCACCTTTAGAATAATAAGTATCATTTAATTTAATTATATTAATTACTGTTTATAAGAAAATCTAAATTTGTTATTCAACCTTTACAAATATACATTTAATTTAAAATTTTATGTTTCATTTTTGCAAGGTCAATTTATACAACTTAATTCAACTAAATGAAACACAAACAAACATAATTTAGCAACTTGTACTAGTCACTATTGTCACATGCAATATGAGTGCCTACATTACAATCCTTCCAGACACAATCTACATTCTTTTTAACCTAGTAAATGGTCATCAAGTGTCATTAATTATTACAAATTTTTTTCTAGCTGTATTTCGAAAATTTAATAAAATAAAAATAAAGAGTACTTGAGTGTATAAAAAGAAAGTCATTTCAAATCAATAAATTTGACCTAAACATTATACATGAAATTCCCAGAACACTGTTTTGATATGTTACACTCATGCTGTTTTGATTAACCTCTTCTCTGCCGGTATATGAGACACAATAGAAAACACATTGTGTCTCGCGTATATCTGCGCTCTAATATTACGGGTTAACTGTAGACACAACAGCATGTTATTGAAGCATAATTTAGAGAGAGAGAGAAAGATTGTATGGTTAGTATATTGGGAGAGCAAATGGCTGCTGTGCAACATGTCGTGGGTTTTATTCCCACACAAAACTTTGTGTGGTGCTAATTGAAGTAATTGATGATTGTGATGAGATGTTCTTTTGGGTCTGGATAGTTTGTGTATCTACAATGTAAGTTTATACATACTCACAACACAGAAGAAAATCGTACTGTAAGGTAACGTTGCTACGCTGCCCTCCCTTATAGACAAAAAGCATAATTCTAATGATATACAACAATGTACTTACCAAGAGCTGACAAGTGTATGTGTCTCCATTAGCCATTTGAACATAACTTTTGATAGCATCATCTTCATTGGGTAGTTGATAGCCGGCAATCTTGGCATCATAGACTATGTTGACATTGTTTTTAGATGACAACAACTCTTTGTTGACAGCATGCAGCAAGACATCATTTTCTACTATGTACGCAACATCATCATCGAGCAGCTCCGAGCTGCTGAATGATATCATGGCATCTGATGAGGCATCCCACACCTGAAAGGTTGATGTAGATTTGTATAAAGAACAGATATGTGAATTTTAATGTCCATTAATTAGATCCTCATTATTGAGCACTATATTTGACAGAAATATCAAAAGAAAAGTTTAAACGTAAATTTTTTGAATTGGTAGTGAATGTTTGAAAATTGAGCATATTGAATAAGTTTGAAATTGAAGTAGGTATTATATGGGTCTCCCAAATTTAAGTTCTTTTTATTAGCTTTATTTTAAATTATGGTAGTGCCTGTCACCATGGTGCCATGATGACACACACATAATAATTACTGTACAATAAATAATTTGGAGTATAAACCCACTTGCATGTATCGGACAGGCTGCAACCTCATCTTTTCAATATGTTGCCAAACATCTAGTGATGTCATCAGGGACTTGGTGTTCTGGTTGAGGGCCACCACTCTGTTGCTGTACTCTGGCTTCCATACAAACTCTTTATTTGGACTGCCCTCCAGAAGCAATACTTTTAAGTTGGATAAAATAGAATCTTTGGCTGAAAATGATGCAGTATATTTCATTGTTAAACTTTGTTATAAGAAGTTTTTAACTATAATATTAGTAAATACTTATATATTTTTTTTATAGGAAAAAATGTTGATTCATATTGGAATAGTGATTTGAATATAATTGAAAAAGATTATAATCGATAATGTTATTCCTTAAAAGGGAAATTGAAAACCTTTGCACATATTTTCTGATTTATCTTGTTAAGTACATACCCATGGCGCAGGCGAGGGTGCACCCAACCATTCCGCCGCCGGCAATGATAACATCATAGTCTCCCTTAATGTTCTCTGTCTGTTTTGTCAGACTGGACACGTCTTTCGCAGCACTTAGTAAACGAACACTTGTAGTTCTGATGCTGCATTTAATGTGTCCCACGAAAAGCCTCTTTACGCTATTACTCAACATTTTCGCTGCGATTTATTTTCTAAACTACGTACGCAATTAATTCTCTACAAGGGTCTTAATATAATAAGTTAAGCGTAAACTGTATTAAATAGTTTAACGACTTTCCTATAAAGTTATATTATTTTGATTTGTTATCTCGAAAAATACCGCTTTCAAATTATAAATCAAATACCTATTTTTAGGTTATAAAATCATTTGTTATTTGTTGTGTCATATAGACTGTCAATTTGACAGCCCACAAACAATGCTGATTCCAATTTACGCTCAAGCTCGCATAGACCCCACAAAACAACATTAATTATTTTTAAAGTAACAATCACTATAAAAACTTTTTTTGTGAAATAGTTAATTACTGGAATAGTAATTTTAAGTAAGTTGAGTTTTATAATAAATTGATTTTTGGGTAAAGATGCAATGTTACTAACTGCGCATCAGGTATCCGTAGCGACGACAATGACAACAAAAAAAGATCCAAAGCTGTGTTAAGACAATGTGATTAGGTAGTAAATATGATTAAATAGCAATGTTTCTGTAATTTAAATCGGTATGACACATCACACAAGTGTGTTCAATAACTCTTGCTTAAGAGTTCCAGTGGATCCTATTAGTAAAATGCCAAAGTCTGCTTATGAACGAAAGGAAAAAATACGTAATCAACAGTCTTCTATTGATTCATCTTCTACGTGTTCGGTTGGTGCAGCAGACCTGGATGCAGAAAAATTAAAAGATTTTTATCGGAGTATTCCAGACTATAATGATATTAATCATTTGCCCACTGAGGAGTTTTATTCCACATTAAAATCCTTAAGAGATAAAAAGAAAGTTATGCTAGGTCTAGCTATTGAGTTCATTGATGACTGTAATGGAAATGATGACAAAGTAATGAATAATTTAACAATGGAAAATAGTCGGTTACCAGCTATGACAAAAAGTGGAAAAATCAAATCAAATCGCGTACCACGGAGAAAATTATCTACAGAATCAAAAGATTCTAATAACAAAAACGACCACAACAATCACATTACTTCTACCGCTCTCACCAAACGAAGAGTCAATACTAACACTTCAGAACCATGTCTCAAACCGTCTGTTAGAAAGAGTGTAATCCCTCCCATCACGACATGCGAAAAGAAAAACGGACACGAGGATTTAAAAATAGCTCCAATGAAAAGTAATTTAGAAAAGACAAGAACGGAACGTCCTAAAAGAAATCACTCGGCTTGTTCCATTTCATGGAATGATGCTAAGTTTGAAAGTAAAAATGAAGTTGATCAAAAGTTTGACGATTTTTTCGATGGTAAAAAGTATGATAGTTGTATTAGTAAAGAATTTGATGGGGATGATTTTAAAACGCAAAGTATGCCTTCAAGTCCTTTAAGATCAAAACGGTCCGGGTCTCCTATAAGACGTAGGAAAAGCATAACGATCCCTAAGCCATTCAAAATGACTGAAAGGTAAGTAATAAACCGTACCTACTGAATTATACCTAGCTTCCGTTTAAAGTTACAATATAATGAAAAAGCTGTGCATTTACACAACTGAACAAATATCCAAGAACGCCAAGTGTCACACGAGCTATAAAAAGCAGAATTAAGTCATAAGATTTTTTTATACTTAGAGACGAAGAAGACCGTATAGTCAACGAACTTCGGTGTCTTCGGAAATCGTTTTCGGAAGACATGCTTCACCAGAAGATGGAAAGAAAGAAATTTAAAGCGAGACCGGTTCCAATCGAGTCACGCATTCCTCTCTACGACAAGATCTTAGAGGACCAAGCTATGAGGTTTTCATACGACATGAACGCTACCTGTAGGCTTCTTTTTAGAATTCACGTTTAACTTGTTTTTTTTTAATTTACTATCTTCTACTTGACTAATTTTGTTAATTACTGCAAGCTGATTTTATTATCAAACACGTTCTTTAGTTTTCTCTGGATTCAGATAGATAAGCAAATGTTTCATTATATTTTTGCAAATAGGTACACCTTAGTGCTTAAGTTAATACCTTTTTCGTATTTCGAGATTCACATTTTACTTTGTTAAGATTTTTTTTACCTTTATTTCATTGTACCTACCTATGTAAATATACCAAAGCTTCTTAGCTCCAAAGTATATCGGCAGGCTGTTAATAAAATTCATGCTTGTCTCATTGACATTTTACAGACGTGCAATAACAAAAATAAATAGCGAAGCTGAACTAAGAGCTCAGATGAAACCTTTTAGTTTTACAAAAAGAGAAGAAAAGGGCATTGGTGGAATGTGTGAACGAGCTATTCATGTTTTACCAAAAAGTAAAAAGAAGAAACGGTTTAGAGCTCGGCCTGTGCCTAAAAACTTGTTTTCCAATTACTTTTACGACAAAATGAGGGAGGATGATTTCTTCAGGTAATGTAATTGGCTATAATTAAATAAGTATTCACTACCCTTTCTTTGGGCCTCATCATTTTCGATTGTAATTTTAATGGGTGCCATTATTTTATTAATATCGTGTTCCACTCCACAAAATACAGAAGTCCGTACGCTGCTTATGTACACAACATACCTACCAACTTACGACAATATCTTTCAATATATTAAAGGGCATCGCGACTTTACTGCAAGTATCTAAGTGTAACCTCACATTAGATACTTTTAATGTTGCTATTACAGATCTATGAACAAACGTATAAGAGCTGATGAAATGTTACGAAGCGCAAATTATCCGGGCACAATGGCTGCTAGGGACCGCAGTCGTCTCTCAACTCCAGCTGCTCACAGTGATCTGCCCATAGATCCTTCTCCAGGAGTACCGTCTATTTCATCCTCTGACAGACAAAGATGTCAAAGTCCCACGAAAGATCGGAAGAAAAGAAATAAAAAGCAGAAGGAAGAGTTCATTACTACTAGCCCTCAGCCATTTCGATTCAATACTGCGGACAGGGCGGCCAAGAAAGTACGTATATATCGAATTAATTTATGGTTTCCTTTATAATCTCCATCAAAACCTTGGTCGATTATAATTCGTTTTCCATGGATTAAGTCAGCAAACGAGCAGGATTACCTGGTGGTTAGCAATCGGCATCGCCCACGGACGCAACGCCAGAACAGTGCGGCCGGCCCTTTGGGGATTAGGTTTTCGGAGATTTAGTAATTGGACCTCCGGTAACCTCACTCACACGGCGCAGCATAACGTAAGTGTTAAAGTTGTGTAAGCGCAATGAGGCACCGCGACCTCGGCCCAGAGCAGGAGAAGGAACAGGGGGGTTTTTAGTCAGTAAGTCTGACACTCCCCCCCCGCCCGGGTCTGGGCGGGAGAAGTCATTTGATGATTTTGCCCTCACAAAAAAAAACGCCGGTATTCTGTAAGATCGCTGTAAGTATAACTCAATTCACGCCGAACTTCAAGTTTAGAGTTCGATCCTTTTGCTGCTTTTGGCTCAGTGACAGCAAATTAATGACATATAACATTTTCCATTTCAGATGCACGATGTGACAATGAAAATCTATTCGGAAAACAAAAGCAATGAGAGCACTAGTGGAGCTGGTAATGGTCCAGGAGCTCGAGCGTACTCGGCCCTTGACCTTCGAGCATCTGCATCAGGCAGGTCCAATCTAGCAGCCTTACTAAGAGCTGAAGCAGTCAGAAGGAGGTTCGAAATGGAAGCAGCGTCTCGATTGGCCGAACAACGTCGCCGCAACGAGATGAGACTGAGGGATCGCCAGCTACGATCCAAACCCGCTTGGCATCTTGTGAAAAACAAGTTAGTTTGTAAAATAAAATATGTATTTATGTTTCCCTATAATTTGAACTTTAATATAGTTTAGATTAAAGTTCAAATTATGTTTTAGCCTTTGCACAGATACATAGTCTGGCCATAAATACTGTTACAATTAAAAGACCAGTTATCAATAGAAGCACGCACTCTTTCCATGGGAAAATTCTTCACTGCCAATCGTATGGATTGTTTTAGGGAGTCCAAATTATCATGACGTTTAGAGCAAGCCCTACTAGACGACGGCCAGTCTTCAGCTCTGATGAAGGTCGGAAACGTTCGTTTCCAACCATGACTGCGTGGACCGAGCTTTATGAACCGGCGCCGAGTCCTGCTGGAAGGACCATTGTTGGTTATTGAACATGGTGTTGTTAAGGGGCTTAAGTACCTTCTCAAGAATGGTATTTTGATACACTTGTGCCGATGTTTTGATACCTTTTTCGCAAAAGTATGGCTCAGTCACTCCTTCATAGCTAACACCCCACCAAACCATCACTGAAGGCGGATAATGCCCACGTTGTACTCTGTTGACTAATTGAGAAGCTTCCTTAGAGCTTTGAGCATAAATACGGTCATTTTGTTTGTTAAAATGTTGCTCAATTGTAAAAAAAAATTCTCATCCGTAAACAATTTTTTTCTGTGACCTCCCTTTGCGTACCGCTTCAGTAGTTGTATAGATTTTATCACCCTATTCTTTTTTAAATTATCATTTAAAAAATGTCCAGTGCGTCTCTTATAGGCTGCAAGTCCTAAGTCGTCTTTTAAAATACGCGACATGGTTCTAGGTGCTATCTTCATCTGCCGAGATAAAATCTTTTGCTTTCGGACAGGATTTCTTCGAATTCTTTCCCTTACTGCTTTGACCACCTTTTTCGTACGAACACTACGTGGACGGCCAGATCTTTTTCTGTCACAAACAGAGGAGGTCTCATTGTACCTATTAATAGCCCGGTACACAAACATTTGCCTAATGCCAAGCGTGTGGAGAGTTTTAAAAATTGCATTTGGCTCCATACCCACTTTGTGTAATGCAATCACAGCGATGCGGTTCTCTTTATCGCCTTAATGTGGATACTGTGAAATGGAGTGGGGTACCTACTCCATTTTAATATCGCAAAATATTGAACAATTTATTGGCGCCAAAATAAGAAAACACAATGAAAAATTATATAAAAATGACAGATTCCAAATTCAAATGTAATATTTTGTTTATTTTTAAGTGTAACAGTATTTATGGCCAGACTATGTATATATGTAGTTTTGTTAATGGAAAATCATAAACTTGATCCATTCATGGAATGGTTGAAATATGCATTTAGGTAAATCACTAAAATTGAATTAAATACCTACCTGACTACTTGGATTTTTGGAAATTTTGGTAAAATTTTAGCACCCAGCTATAAATTTATCACTTGTTTATTGATGAAGCTGCTCTGCTCTGTTTTTTTATTATCTTATTCTACCATACAAATTAAATAATCGGGTAAGGTTTATTCCCAAGTCCATAACTCATAAAAGGCTTTTATTAATTTTTAGTCACGAGGAGGACATTGCAATGAGGCTGCAAACCCGGCGTGATGAGGAGAGAATGAGACGGGAGGAGTTTCTGCACGAGATGGAGCTGATGTATGGAAGGGTGCAGCAGCAACCGATGCTCTTTGAGAGGTACTACGCACCACGATCACTGTCAGCTCCTTTAGACACGTTACAACTGTCTCCGAGGAAGTCCACGAAGAAACGCAGTTCACGAACTAAATCCTATCACTACAATAGCCCTACTCGATCCCGCAAAGTATCGATTAATGATACAGCCGAAACGTACACTGGAGATGTGGCGGAGTTCCTAAATAGAATCGATATTGACGACAAATACTCCGATTCGGAAATTGTTACCGATAGCTTAGACAGAGGGAAATTGTGATTTCACTTAGGTTCTTAACTAATTTCCATTTGTGCACCATGTATGTTTTCATGTATTTGTTTTGTTTAAATAATAAAAGTATGTTCAATGAATTCAATGCTGGTGTGTTTATCTTAAAGTCAAGCGTCAAATCCGCGGTTCTTCTGACAAAAAAAAAAGAAAAGAAAATGGAGCAATAATGTATCTACCGTTGCCCCGGGCCAAAGCAGGAGAAGAAACGGAGTGTTTTTTGTCAGTAAGAATTGGACTCTCACGCCCCACCCAATCACCCAAGGCGGGACAAACCTGATGATTTACCCCCTGATAAAAAAGTAAATAAAAGGTCAGAAGGTAATAAGGAATTACTTTAGTTAAACTATTTTCTTAGACATATAAAGGCACTACTAGAGTTAAATTTAGACTAGATGATCCAATATAAACTTTAGGAAATATGCAACGGACGCGTAGACTCCTGGCTTCTTGATGCCGCAAATTGTGGGCCCGAAGGACACAACTCCAACCAAATAGCTTTTCGGACCTTCGGGGGTGTCAAAGACCTGGAAAAAGTAAGGTTTGCAGGCATTATAATATTGAAGGGTTCTTTCCTTCGGCATCTTTGCGTTTCGGGATGCATGTGCTGTATAATTTAGTCATTATAATCTGTTAGTACTTATGCATAGTTCTTAACTTTATAAAAATTTCGGGTCTCTCACATTTACTGAATAGCCACTTTATAATATGAATTTAAATTAAACTGGTCACGGACCTTTCGGTCCTAGCACCACCAAATTTTTAATCCACGAAGGGTTATCAGTCGGTTTTAAGTAATAGGATATGTAGAGGAACTCGTTTGTTTTGCTATAAAACCAAATAATAAGGCCAAATAAATCCAAGTAAGGAAATATCAAAGTTGACGAAACAGGTTTAATGTGACCAAAATTTCCTCAATATTATCTACAATACTAGCATAAATATGAAACATTATCAATCTCAACTATATTTTATAGCATTTTTTATTTAAATACCTTACATAAATTGCTTTCTGAAATCGATCATATTGTTACGTGCCTGACGTCACGTTCCTAACTATGCGGGCTTGGGTTACGGGATTGGATGAAATTAAACACTAATACCGGTTTTCAGACTTTCTATTGCACTTAAGTGACAGCGTCCACGGATACGGATAAGTTATCGGCGTTCCTCTCCAGCAGAGTCCGGCCGACTGACACAACTTTGCCGTTCACTGTTCACGCTGACTCACTTAACTGACTGCACTTCACTATTTCACTGTACTTCACTATTTCACTCACTTTTCTTCTTTTCACTTCTTCCTTTTCTTCCGAATCGCTTTGGACTTAGAACTCAACTATTCCAGAAAGTTCGACAAAACTTCCATCAACTAAAAAACTTCATGTTTACGGCGGGACTCGAACTCGGGGTCTCTGTGGTGTAATCCACACGCCTTACCGATTACACCAACTCGTGTTGACAATTCACGACGAAATTTACAATCTCTAGGCAACGTTTGACAACCATCCATTGACGTCATGATGTCAAAGAGTTTTCTGTCACACTGCCCCCCTCTTAGATTCGCTCGTCCCGAGCATCGTTGCTACCGTAATACCTTGCCAACCTGTCTATATGGACAACTTTCAAAGGGCTCCTTGAAGACTTCCGAATTCTGTAAGTAATGTCATTGATCTTCGTGACTATCTCGTAAGGACCTTCCCAACTCGGTTGCAGCTTTGGAGATTTTCCCTTCCTTCTGACTGGATTATGAAGCCAGACCAATGACCCCTCTTCAAACCCAACAGAATTGGCTCGTCGATCATAGCGCGTCTTTGCGCGATCACTAGCTTGAAGACCGGCCTCCCTGATCTGCTCATAAATGTCCAACATTTTTGCCCTTAACTCGCTTATGTAATCGCTAAACTCGGTGCGAGAGTCACCAGGTGGACAGCCCGATACAAGATCTGCCGGTAATCTCAATTCCCTTCCAAAATTTGCAAATGCAGGCGTCTTTGCGGTACTTTCATGTACAGCAGTCCGATAGGCAAGCAAGAAGAGAGGTATGTAAGTGTCCCAATCTCTCTGATGGCTGTCAACCACCTTTGCTAAGTGTCGCTCCAATGTTTGGTTGAAGCGTTCGACCATTCCATCTGACTGTGGATGATAAGGGGTCGTTCGAGTCTTATGGATTCCCAAAAGTTTACAAGTTTCCTGGAAAACTTGGGATTCAAAGTTCCGTCCTTGATCACTGTGCATCTCCAAGGGCACTCCGAATCGGGTGAATACGTCGTTTACCAACTTCGTGGCTACAGTTACTGCCTCTTGATTCGGTATGGCAAAGACCTCCGGCCATTTTGTAAAATAATCCATAACCACTAAAACGTAGCGATTGCCCGAATCAGTGATTGGAAATGGTCCAGCGATGTCTAAGGCTATTCTCTCCCAAGGCATACCAACATTGTAGATTTTCATCGCCCCTCTGCTTCTTGTTTGTGGACCCTTGACAGCTGCACAACTAGTGCATTTCCGGCACCAATCTTCGACGTCATATTTGCAATGCAACCAATAAAACCTCTCCTTGATCTTCACCAAAGTCCTCCTAATTCCCAAATGTCCTCCAGAAGATCCATCATGGAACGCTTTTAATACATCCCTTATTTTTGAACGAGGCACCACCAATTGCAAATGCTCGTCCTTGCCGTTTGTTGATTCCCATTTCCTGCACAGAAGTCCGTTATGCAGCGTAAGGCTTTTCCACTGTGCCCATAAACCTTTCGTTACCGCGCTATATTGGGCGACGTCACTCCAACTTGGCTTGTTACCACTTCGTAGCCACTCCAGTATTGGTTTGATATCTGCATCTCTTTCCTGTTCTAATTTCATCGCATCATCTCCCCATGCCTCGTCAACAGTATCAGTCCTTATCACCTTAAGAAAAGCAGTTTCCTTCTTGGCACAATGCTTGCAATCTTCCACGCATGGGCGTCTCGATAATGCATCTGCGTTGCCATGAATTCTTCCGCCGCGATGTTCGATTTCAAAGTCAAATTCCTGAAGTTGTTCCAACCATCTGGCTACTTGGCCTTCGGGATCCTTAAACTGAAGCAGCCATTTCAAAGCAGCGTGATCAGTTCTGATCAAAAATTTCCGTCCCAGTAAATACTTCTTGAAATGGTGCAGAGTTTTGACTACGGCCAGCAATTCCCTCCTGGTCACGCAATAATTCTTCTCCGGCTTGGATAGTGACTTGCTGAAGTAAGCAATAACCTTCTCCTGCTCACCATCGCGTTGTGAAAGGACACCTCCTATTCCAATATTGCTGGCATCCGTATCAACTACGAATATTCCTTTCGCGCTGGGGTATCCGAGAATTGGTGTGTTACAAAGCCGTTCTTTTAGTTCTCGAAAGGCTTGCTCACAATCCTCGTCCCAGATAAAGGCGCGTTTCTCCTCTGTCAATCGATGCAAAGGCTTGGCAATGTCCGAGAATCCTTTCACAAACCGCCGATAATACGAGCACAATCCAAGAAATGCCCGAACTTGCGTTTTGTCTTTAGGTGTTGGCCATTCCTTAACAGCGGCAGTCTTGGCTGGATCAGTCTCAATACCTCTCTCAGAAATAACATGTCCTAGATAATTCACTTCGCGCTTGAAGAAAGAGCATTTCTTTGGACTCAACTTTAAATTTGCTCCACGCAGCTTATCGAGTACCTTTTCCAATTTCCTTAGATGATCGTCAAAATCCCGTCCAACAATGATGATGTCATCGAGGTAAACTAGGCAGGTTTCGCCCAGCAGTCCCGCCAGCACCTGTTCCATCAAACGCTCAAAGGTTGCCGGTGCATTGCATAATCCAAATGGCATCACCTTAAATTGCCAGAGTCCCTTCCCAGTTGAGAATGCGGTCTTTTCCTTGTCCTTGGGATCCAAATCCACCTGCCAATAGCCGCTTTTCAGATCGAGCGTTGAAAACCATTTCATGCCACTCAGTGTGTCAAGTGTGTCATCGATTCTTGGTAACGGGTAGCTATCCTTCTTGGTTACATCATTCAATCGTCGATAGTCCACGCAAAACCTCGTTGAACCATCTTTCTTCTTGACAAGCACGACAGGTGAACACCAAGGGCTAGAAGAGGGCTCTATCACGTCATTTTTCCTCATATCGTCAATCATTTCTTCAACCTCTTTCTCACGAGCGAATGGTATGCGTCTGGGCCTTTGACGAATTGGCATTGTATCACCTGTGTTTATTTTATGCTTCACCAAACCAGTTCGGCCAATATCACCATCGCTTCTTGAAAACACATCAGAGAATCGAAGAAGTAAATTTCTAGCTTTCATAGTCTCCACTTTTGTCAGACTTTTGTTTTCGTCTAAGATTTTCGTTACAAAGTCTATTCCCGTACTGTCCTTCTTCACAAGATTCTCCGAGCATTTTCTTATCCAGGCCACTTCTTCCAATACGCCCACAGGCTCTCCTTCTTCAATCGTAATTTTTGAATCACTGAAGTTGAATACCGGAATGCGGTTGACATCAGATGACCCCACGACAGTTCTCGCCGGTAGCCATGAGTTTACGTGTTCCGATTTATCAATCACAGCGCACCTTAGAGGTAAACTTCCTTCCCTCCTCCTAGGTAATGCGATTGGTACGAGAGTCTGTGATTTTGGTTCAAGAACAGTTCTTCTTAAACAGCAAACTTTTCCCAGGGTTCCACCCTTCATCGGAATTTCCTCAGTTCCACATAGTAATACTCCAGATTTTAAGTCGATGTTACACTGGTGCCCTTGCAGGAAGTCAAGTCCCAGGATGCAATCATCCAGAATTTTGGCCACAATAACCTCATGTCGATAAACACGTTCCCCAATTTTGATTGTTACATGCAGTTTTCCACTTATCGGTATGCACTGGCCGGTAGCTGATTTCATTCGTAGGCCAACAATTGGTTTAACGTGTTTCCTGATGTTTTGCCCGAGCAGCCGAACATTTATCACCGTCCTTGAAGCTCCAGTATCTAATGTTAGCTGACTGTTTTTCCCATTTACTTGACCGTCTATCACCAGAGTATTTCCATCGTTAGTTTGCTTGATGTAGATTGTTGGGGTTATTCCACTACCGGCCAGCGCCCACCCCGCAGCCCTGGCTGGATTTAGTTTCCCTGCTGGTCAGAAGTTGAGACCGCCGCGTCCTGGCGGTTCACCTTCTTCGGGCAGTCGCTCCGCATGTGCCCACGCTCTCCGCATCCATAGCACATGAAGTTCCGACGGCGTGGAGGTACCTGCTCCGTTGTCGTCATTTCCCGCAGACGTAAGGTACGGGAGTTACCACGCACGGCTTCCACTTCCAATGCATGGGCCACAGCTTCTTTCATGTTCTTGTGATGGCCCAGATGAACAGCAGCTCGTACTTCGGGGTCCCGAACACCGTCAATGAATGCTTGGAGAAGCGTGCCTTCAATCATTGATGGAGTCGACCGAAAAGCTCGACGCACAAGTTTCTCGATTTCCACGGACCATTGCTGTAGACTCTCATTAGCACGCTGAGTACGCTCTTTTAATTGCGCTCTGTACACGTGCTCGAGGTGGCTGTCTCCAAAACGTGCCTCAAGTGCGTCGAGGAGGGTACTAAAGCTGAGATCCCCACTTGCGCCGATAGCTTCCAGCACTGAGAGCGCTTGATCACGGAGGGCCAGGGTGAGGGCTGACTGTGCTTCCTTCTGAGTCCAACCATAAGCCTCCATAAGTGTCTCAAACTGTAGCTTGAACGCGGTCCAGGATGTTGTTCCGTCGTAATGGGGAATCTTCAGCCCTTTCGTTGCGCTTGAGGCCGCATTTGGGGCGTCAAAAACGGCTGCAAGACGGCTTCGGCTCTTCAAAGGGCTTGGGCTTGTCATTTCCTGCTTGATTTTGGAGATCTCTTCTTCCACTCTCTCCTCTATCGCCATGACGCGATGTTCCAACTTGCCTAAACCTTCCTCCACTTCTTGTACCCGTTCGACAGCCTTTTGCAGTCCCTTCGTGAAATCTTTATGCATGTCTTCCAAGCGACGCGCTTGCTCCTCTTGGCGACGAGCTTGATCTTCTTTCAGCTCCCGCAGCTGTTCTGACTGACAGCGTGCTTGCTCTTCTTGGCGGCGCGCTTGCTCTTCTTGGCGGCGCGCTTGCTCTTCTTGGCGGCGCGCTTGATCTTCTTTCAGCTCCCGTAGCTGTTCTGCCTGACAGCGTGCTTGCTCTTCTTGGCGGCGCGCTTGATCTTCTTTCAGCTCACGCAGCTGTTCTGCCATCATTTGCCGCAGCTGTAGCAGAAGATCCATCTGCACAGGCTTGGCTTCTGCATCGCTGGTCTGAGCTGCAGCACCCTCTTCCCTCACACGCTGCGCTTTTGACATAGCACGGGTACTCACTCCTCTTACGTCCTGCGGCACTAGCGGCATTTTTCTCCAATCTATGCGGGCTTGGGTTACGGGATTGGATGAAATTAAACACTAATACCGGTTTTCAGACTTTCTATTGCACTTAAGTGACAGCGTCCACGGATACGGATAAGTTATCGGCGTTCCTCTCCAGCAGAGTCCGGCCGACTGACACAACTTTGCCGTTCACTGTTCACGCTGACTCACTTAACTGACTGCACTTCACTATTTCACTGTACTTCACTATTTCACTCACTTTTCTTCTTTTCACTTCTTCCTTTTCTTCCGAATCGCTTTGGACTTAGAACTCAACTATTCCAGAAAGTTCGACAAAACTTCCATCAACTAAAAAACTTCATGTTTACGGCGGGACTCGAACTCGGGGTCTCTGTGGTGTAATCCACACGCCTTACCGATTACACCAACTCGTGTTGACAATTCACGACGAAATTTACAATCTCTAGGCAACGTTTGACAACCATCCATTGACGTCATGATGTCAAAGAGTTTTCTGTCACAATATCACCACATTGTCGACGTGGGGTTGTTTTAGGAATTGTTACAAATAGTAACTACTGTCTTCCAGATTTAATTGTAAGGTAAGTTTTATTGTAAATCTGGCCTAATATATCTTCAAGTTTTGTAAGTATAAGTTAAAGCTATCTAAGAAATATAAGAAACCACCACAGCGTTGCATTTCGCTGTATGAGTGAGGTTACCGGAGGCCCAATCCATTACCTTCCCAATTTTAATATCTCCTGTGTGTCCTTGGGCGGCGCTAATTGCTTACCATCAGGTAATCCGTCTGCTCGTCTGCAGTCTTATCACATAGAAAAATAAAGTCTACGTAGTTTACCCATGTAATTTTTCTAATAAAACAATTTAAAGCGTCTGTGCTCCATGGGTTTTATATCTTTACAAAATTTCAAGTCAAATATTTTTGAAAAACTTAACTGATTTTTAATTTATATACCGTCGTAAGTTCGGATTACTTTGACCTTGGGAGGTAACTTCGAACCAATGAAAAACGAATATATGTTTGATTCTCAGTTATTATTGGTTAAAGGGTTTGGATCAAAGTAACCCCGCAGGGTCAAAGGTACCCGAACTTACCCGGTATATCTGAAAGTGTCCATAAAAATATTTTTTTACCTTCATAAGTGGACCTCCCGAATCACCACCACAAGCGTCCTTATTGTGTTCTGCGCCCGCGCAGATTTCAGATTCGAACAATTTGAATGCCTTACCGAACGAATCACACATCGCAGGGGACACTACTGGTATCTAAAAATAGCAAATTATTGTTTTAAATAAAATATTTTAAGCTATCGTATAAAGAGCAGGAGAAGAACGGGGCGGAGATTGAGTTTAGTGCCGTCCTTTTGGATTATGTCCAGTAAGATTACAGTGATGTTAAAAAATAATACCGGATAAATATAAGTAAGTAAGTGCTTACATTAACAAATTGTAACACATTAGCTCGTTCCTCGGTGGTCATGTTCATTTTGCCCCAACCGGCGACTGTCATCTCATCTCCTATTTTAAAGTTCGCCAGCTGTTCAGCTGTACGTGGCAAGCAGATGGGGGCCACGTAATCTAAAAACAATGGCAATGGCGTATGTCAGTAACACATCATTCTAGATTTGACGAGGTTTAATTAATATAAATTCTAATGTAAAGAAACGAAAGCAGTAACCTACTTAGTTACTTATTCAGGCATTCCTTTACCGAATAAAATCATCCTATAACTGCTCACTGCTCAGTAAACGCCTCTTCTTACTCGAAGAAAGCTTAAGCATTGAATCACCACACTTCATCAAGGCTGATCGGCGATTTCATTCTTATAATTAGAAATTATAAGTACCAACAGGTTTTCTCACGATGTTTTAAGTCAGTGATGTCTAAATAATCGTAGAAAGTGAGAACATATTACTCGAAAAAAGTCACACTTGAGTACTTTTCAGGTTTCAAGCCATCCGGACATCACATTAGCATTAAGAAAACAGACACTGATAACTAAAAAGTTTTTAAGTATGTATTGATCTGAGAATATAGGTAAGTATGTATTTTACTATTTAGTGTAACTGGTGTATCCAGCTCGATGATGGCGACGTCGTTATGGAAGGCTGGCTTGTTGAACAGAGGGTGGCTGATGATCCTCTTTATACCTCGGTCCTGTACTGCAGGTGCACATACTTTCAGTTCACAGTCTGGGTTCGTCCGTGTGTCATGCTCGCCCAAACGGACTGCGGTTCTGAAAGGATAATTGCCGTATTACGTCGCCGCAATGCACACGCTGCTCATGGATAAGGGTTCCGTTATGACTTGTAACCGGTAGAGAATTTTCAGTTCATTTACGTTAGTAAATCGTTATTTTCAATAGAAAAGCTTTCAAGATTGCATTTTTAAAGTTCGGAAAATATTGCTCTCTGATGCGAATTAGTTTCTGTCCCTGTCTAGTAGTAAGCGGATGTTGATGAAGATATAATTTATATTAACCTACCTATGTATTTACCTAACTAATAGTAGGTATCTACGTATGTAAACGTACCTACTATTAATCGGGCTTTAATCCTGGTTAGATTGCATTTAATTAGTTTGTCAATTATCAAGTCGTCAGTAATCCACACTCGCGCTGTGGTAATATTTTCGGCAAATGCAGTACCTAGGTAGGTATCTTTATAAAAAAGGACAGCTTTATACAGGTGTCCGGTAAATAATGAATAACCTTGCAATACCTTTAAGTATATCTTATGGCCATTCAGAAAATATACAAAAAAAAAAATATTTTATAAAAAACTTGCAAATTAATTTATTAAAGACAAATCGTGCATAGTTTATTTTTACAGCAATGTTTAATCATCGTGGTTATGCAATAATGTAATGAACGTAAATGTTAAAGGATCATTTTGTATTACCTCTAGCCCCAGTTCTTTTACTTCAAGACATAATAATTTAGGTACTACCTATGATACTTTCCTTTTCGTTGTTTTTTCTGAATGGCCAAAGGATATACTAAAAGGCATTTCAAGGTTATCCATTCTTTACCGGACACCCTGGATATGATGGGAGATATAAAGAATTATTTGAAAGTAAATCGTTAAAAATCGATAGGTATTTATAAGAAGTAAAAAAATGTAGGTAGGTATTTTTGTTATAATACTAGTATGCAGATATGAACTGGATAAAAAAAAGTTTGACTTGGAAACATAAATGCAGGAAAACAGTGGTTACTTGGTGTCCTTGAGTTGGCAACCTTTTAGGAGTATCTATACATATTAGTAACTATATACCTAGTATTCAAAAACGAGACAAGGTTATTCTAAAGACTTGACACTTTATTGCATAAAAAATAGAATTGAAAATTGATCTAATATTTGTGCATTGAAACTTACAAGACAGGTCCATAGTCTGATTTCTGGACGCAATGGGCAGCGGTGACCACGTGGCGGTCGGAGACGAGGGCTCCTCCACACATATAGTCTACTTCATCGTCCTCTGTTGGATAAGAAAATAGGATAATAAGCATCATATTTGTTTGGCAGTCCCAGTCCCAGTAAATGTGTCTCTGTAGTATGCTATGTGCGGTGGCTGGGCAACTGGCTGCCGTGCAACGTGTCGCGGGTTCGATTCCCGCACGGAACACCTCTTTGAGTGATCCACAAATTGTTGTTCCCGGTCTGGGGGTCATGTGTATGTGAAATTGTATGTTTGTAACCGCACCCACAACACAGGAGAAAATCCTAATGTGGGGCACCGTTTAAAAAAAAGAAAAAAAAAATAGTAGTAGTCTTAATATTATAAAACTGTAGAGTTTGTTTGTTTGAACGCGCTAATCTCCGGAACAACTGGTTCGAATTATTTTTGTGTTTGTTTACTATGGGAATTAATCAACGTCAAAGTCAAATGAATTATTTGCAGGAAAAGGAGAAGGGACGGAGTGGTTTTTTTTTCAGTAAGAGTCACTCGTCCTACCAAAATCTAGGTAGAGAAGTAATTTGATGATTTTCCCGCCTCACAAAAAAGGAAATAATCGCAATATGAACATAATAATAATTATATTAAGGCACTTAGGACAATTATCTGTATAGGTACATTTGGTACTTACTACTTACATTACTTACTGAAGAAGATAAATGTATATAATTGAACTCTGACTTTAATAATACTCAAATTGATTTCTAACAAGATAATGATGCACTTAACTGTGATGACGTCATAGATAGGTATCCGTGATACAGTCACATGAACTCATTGGTAATTTCTATTTTAGTTGATAAATGTGTGTACAAGTATTAATCATCGATTCTAAGTAGTATCTTCGTAAATAACCAATCACAATTAAATAACCAATTCCTTTTTTTATTTAGTTATGGGATGGTGTTTGGATATCCCGCCTGGTGATGAGTGATAATACGATGGAACAGCCTACCCATAGGCAAACTATACAAAACATTTCGTAATATCAGCTCTCAAGATATTTGTTTAAAGTCACATCAGTAATACAAACTAACTTTTTTATGGGATAGGCTTCCAAGTTAACGGGTCACAATAGTAAGCAATCGAGACCGCCCTCCCTCCTCCCCTCCGGGCATCTGCACCACCAGAGAAATGGCAACTTCGCTACCGGCTTTTAGGTGGGATTTGGGATTTGGGCCATCGGTAACCGAAATCTCACGACGAAACACAACATACTAGTTGTTTTACGACGTTCGAGCCGGGAGATTTGTGCCGAATTTTGGCTTCCGCATTTGCATGGCTGGACGATGTAGCCTCTAAGCGCCAATAAATCCAAACTATAATATTATATATGCGAAAGTAACTCTGTCTGTCTGTCTTTTCTTCAGGCCTAAACCACTTAACCGATTTCTGTGAAATTTGGTACAGACATAGTTTAGAACTCGAAAAAGGACATAGGATAGTTTTTGTACAAAAAATCTGCAGGAAGTCGCTATTCCACGCGAACGGAGTCGCAGGCAAAACCAATATAGTGAAAAATAAAACGAATTTTTAACACATGTAACTGACCAATGTATCCAAGCCGTGCTATCCAGGGAAAGGCGCCCAGTCCAGCATTGAATCCACCAATAATACGGTCGGCTGCACTGTCCCCGCAGTCCATAGCGTCCAACTTCAGCCATGCAGGGTGCCTCGCTATATCTTCAGCAGAGAGCTTTTCATCTGTTTAAAAGGTACTTTGTAAAATTAAAATAGCCGTGTCTTTGCCAGACTTCGTGGCAAGGTAAATAATGAGACTGTAGATGGTTAAGGTCTGTTTATTACTTTAATTGCTGGTGCTTATATACTAAGAAGATGCGTGAGATTTTCAGATTTAGCTATCCTAACAAACGTGCAACAATTAACATGTATGTCTTATCTCTATCGTATCTAAGTAATGTAGCGACGTGATAGTGCCGCTACATATACTCCCCCCTTTTAAAAATAATTAACATATAAATTGAAAAAAATTAGTATGTACCTAATTATATAATAACTTAACCTTGCTGATAAATTACATCCTATGCGTAATGTAATGTCATTGTTGCTAATTCGAAGGAAATAAAAACTGCTGCCTTTGTTGTGACGGCGGCGGCAGTCGATGAACTATCCACTGCATTTGTGCTGATTGTTTCTTGCTATTGTTTTCACTCTTCTGTCTAAGGTCTTCAGTATTCCGTAGAGAAGAAGGATGCCAATTGTGATGAGGATTTGTCCAATTGCAATGTTTCTCGTCCACCGTAGCTCTTCCAGGACAAGACTTGTGGAGGGAGGCTGGTTTCGTAATATCCTCGTATTCATTTAATAGTTGAGTAATGCGTGGATTCGTCTCAATGTTAATAGTGCGGATTGTTTGCTGCGTCGATTTGATCAGGGTTGCGGGCGTTGTCAGCTCAGTTACCCTATCTATGAGTTTTCGACCTGCTATATCGACTAATAGCTTATAATGCTCTAAAAAATCTGCTCCAATAATCGGTTGTGTTACGTCGGCGATGACAAAGTTCCATACAAAGTTTCTTCGTAGCCCGAAGTTTAAAGAGAGTGTTTTTTTCACCATATGTCTTAATTTTTGTACCATTGGCGGCATAAAGTATACATCGTTCATCTTGTATTAGTGAATGTCTCTGTGGCTTGCTAATAACTGAAATATTTGCTCCCGTGTCAATCAAAAATCTCATACCACTTTTTCGGTCGGTAATAGTGAGGTGGTTGGACGGGTGAATAGCACAGAGTTCCGCCGTTGTCCGTGCTTCAATTAGTTTCCCTGTTTCCTTGAGTTGAGATCCTGTTTCCAATCACAAGGTTGAACACACTTTTGTGCATATTTTTTAAATCTTCCATGGTAAAAACAAAAGTGCCTTCTTTCTCTTGAACTTGACTGTGGTAGGAAATGCCGACGATTGGAATAACTTTGAGTGCTGCGTCGATAGTTTTTTTTGACCTTGCTGAATTGCATTTAGTTCCAATTGCATTTCTGCTAACTGTGCTAGTATGCATGACATTGTATCGTCGCCAGATTTGTTTCCGTTTACAGCTGACACCTCTGTACGTGTTGAATTTATTAATATCTTGTCCGCGATCTGGCTCATCTTGTTCACATCTATGTCTTCTGTGACTGCTAGAACCGAAGTCACTGATGGTGGCAGAAGCCTCAACCATAGAAGTTTGATGGTTTCGTCGCTGATATTTCCGTTACTCAGGGTCCGCATCTTGCGCAGAAGATGTGATGGTTTCTGGTCGCCGAGATCCATTTCAGACAATAATTTTTGGAGCTGACGTTGGTCTGATTCCTCATAGCAACTGATTAGGCGTTCTTTGATAGCCTTGTACTTTTCTATTGGCGGTGGGCAAGTAATGAGGTCACTAACCTGTATTATTTCTTCTTTTGGCAGTTTTGCAATGACCGTATAGTACTTGTAATCGTCTCCTTGCTTCTGTGGTGCTACTATGGCTTCTAGTTGCTTAAACCATAATCTGGGTTGGTCCCTCCAAAATTCCGGAATACGGGATAAAATGGCGGTTCCGGCTGATATCTCCAAGGCTGCTGCTTGATTTGCAGGGTGAATGAGTCATGTTGATTGTTCTTCGTCGGGTCACCAATTTGCCAGACTTCGTGGCAAGGTAAATAATGAGACTGTAGATGGTTAAGGTCTGTTTATTACTTTAATTGCTGGTGCTTATATACTAAGAAGATGCGTGAGATTTTCAGATTTAGCTATCCTAACAAACGTGCAACAATTAACATGTATGTCTTATCTCTATCGTATCTAAGTAATGTAGCGACGTGATAGTGCCGCTACAGTGTCTATCGGTCTTATACTATGTGGTTTTGGAATAGAGTTTTGTGTGGTAAAGAGTTTTAAACAGTTTACAAAGAACGTAATATAACTTTAATTATTTTGTCAATTAATTAATACTCAATACTTTATTGCTTTCCACATGTATTCTTAGGTATACTTATAAATAGTTCACATGGACCCTGTCGGGCACAGCAAAGTAAGTGGGATAGGAGGATTTAATTAATAAGAAATGTATTTTTTCTAAACATTTGTAATTTTGTAGTTATTTAATCCAGGATAAGGAATGGGATGTTTTTTAGTCAGTAGGAGTTTGACACTGCTCTCGCTTCTCCTGTGAAGCCATTTGATGATTTCTGCCCCCGTGTCCCCAAAAATAACAGTCCTTATAGATCAAAATTGTTACTAAGTAATAGTTTTACTAAGTTGTTAAAATATTACGGCAGCTTTACTCAATATTCGACTAACAAGTCTCATTATCTCATTATTCTACGTAAGATTTTGAAATAAGTTAACCTTTTGACCGTCACGGGCCACGGCTATGTACTATCTTTAATGACAATACGGTTACAGAATTTATGAAACGTACACAAAAAATAATTTAAATGTGGGAGAGCCATGCTTCGGCACGAATGGGTCGGCTCGACCGGGAGTGATACCACGGCCTCACAGAAAACCGGCGTGAAACAACTACAGCGTTGTGTTTCGCCGTGTTAGTGAGGTTACCGAAGGCCCAATCCTTCCCCTCACCCAATCCCTCCTCAAACCCTAAATCTCCAAATCCCTAATCCCTAAAAGGTCGGCAACGCACTCGTAACTCCTCCGTCGTGTCCATGGGCGGCGCTGATTGCTTACCATCAGGTAATCCGTCTGCTCGTTTGCCGACCTATTACATAAAAAAATATGATTTATAATGATATAGTTTCGTTTTATTTTTTTACAAATTTAGCTCTTTCATCTAATTTAAATGCATTTTTAATGTCATAGGTTTACAAACGAGAGGTTTACATGATGGTATGTAAATGGCGACGCCTATAGACTTTCGCATTACTAAAGGAAAGGTATACTACAAGTATGTTGCCGATGTCATTCGGAGTTTGAGGATGGGGATGAGGGAAGGATTGGGCCTCCGGTAACCTCACTTACACGACGAAAACTTACATAGGTAATTGTAACTTTACACCGATATTCTGCGAGGCCCTGGTATGACTCCGGTCGAGGCGGGCCATTCGTTGCGAAGCATGGCTCTCCCACACTTAATTATTAAGATGTTGAATGGACTGCATTATTATTATCAACCAATGTTACAAAGGATGATGAGGAAGACCATTTTTTTTCTCTATCTAGTTGCAGAGTCAAAGTCCGTAGTCCGTTTTTATGTTTGTTCTATTAGGAAAGACGATTCTTTAAAATCAAATTTTTTATTTGCATGTAAAGGTGGGTACAAGGATCTTAAATTAAAATGACAGGCACAGTTAATGGCCTTTTTCAGGCTTTGCAAAGAGGCGTTTAAATCTGTCCGATTAAAGTATTTGACCTTGATCAGCTGTATTAAAGCTAACTCATTAATTAAAGCCCGGATGTAATGACATAATGATGTCGAGTTATATTTTTTGTCCGAGTGTCGGTCATTCTACTTAGTTACAGAACATCATTTGTCCAAAATCTGTATTAAGACGGTATTTCGAATGTTTTTCTTTTTATAAAAACGTTGCCCCACACAATCAGTCAATCAATATGAAGAAAACCATAGGTAATTAGATTTTTTTAAGGGGAATTTCATCAAATGACTCTTCTCGCCCTGGGTGCGGCGAGAGGGACTGTCATCAGACTCTTTCTGACTAAATACCACCACATTCTTTCACCTGGTCCACGCCGAGACCGCTGCCCATTACTGCGCTTGAACCGCAACCCCAGAAGTAATTAGGGAGAGGTCTTGTAATAAAAAGATATTTTAATTAGATAATAGGTCTGTCTTATGTAGTCACACACTCCTTGAATCAGTCGCGGAGTGTACTAGATCGCCACGCATGAAAAGTTGAAACTAAACAAGCACTCCATTTGTATCAATTATGTCATGTTTTATGTAAAAAATATGTTTGGCTTTTGAAACTTATTACTTATAGAAAAATAGGCTTTCTAAAGTTGCACCATAAATGCGTAAAATAGGTAATCATAATTGCAATATTGTATATCAATAAAAGTGTTTAGGTACATTTAATTATTATTATTCCACGTAGCTTTATTTGAGTTCTGTTCAATAGACAAACTAAACAAAGTGGATAATGTAAAATAGAATAAATATTTTTTCAGTTACATAATGTTTCTTTTTGCTCAATTGCGCCTTATTGTTGCTGTTAAATATTTTTATTACAGGTTTTTTTATAAATAGGGAACATTTAATAAGTAGTAGATAGCAAGTAGGTAATATGACAATTATGATTTATTCCTATGCTCCGTAGGTACTTAGTCAATAGTTTGTACTTTGTAATAGTCAACTTGAATAGAATAGGTACGGTAGTTTCCAACTAGTCAAATTCAATACTTTTATCCAAATGTCAAAAACGATACTTTTCTACGAAATTTGTATGAAAAACTGAGCCATGACGTCATAATATTTTTTGCGTCAAAAAGCTTACTTATTTCGTAATAAGTAGCTAAAAAATATCGAAAACTTAGTGTATCGATCGATCGAATAATGAAAGTATAGTTATTTTTCAATTATTGTATTGAAACGTCGAATTACTTAATTTATTTTTTACCTAGGAAACTACTTAATTAAAATGAAGCCACAAACATATAGGGTGACTAGTATTTGGTAACCGATATTTAAACACTTTCCCAAAGAAGATTCTATATACTTAAATCCATAGTTTTATTCGTGTAACAAAATGGCGCGCGTGCTAAGTTCAAATTTCGCGCGCGCGCATTTGCCCGATCAGCTGTTAGCGGCGAGGCCCTGCTGCCCTGTTCCCGCGTTGTCGATGTTGTAAAAAAATATATGTGATGTTTTATAGCCTATAGCACTCAGGAACATTCTATCAGTGAAAGAATTTTGGGAATCCAACCAGCGGTTCCAAAGATTACTCCCTACATACAAACTTACAAACATATAGTACAAATTTTACCTCTTTATAATATTAGTATAGATAGCATTCAGGAACATTGTAGCTATCTATCAGTGAATTTTGGCAATCCGACGAGCGGTTCCAAAGATTACCCCCTACATATAAACTTACAAACTAACAAACATACAACTTACCTCTTTATAATATTAGTATAGATTTAATCTTAATTGTGTGCATGGGTAACTACCGGAAATAAATGTTTTTTTTTTTGTATTTTTTTATTTATTACTTAACGCGCGCACTATACAGCTCAGGAATAACATTTGAAAAAAAGTTTCTTTTGGCAAAGTTGTCTGTTATCATGAGTACAATGACGTGTTTGAATATCGGTCACTAGTTACCAGTCACTCTATATAACATTGGCAGTAATATTATGGAGAATAAGAACCAATTTTTACGCATATAAGGTGCACAATAAATATATTGGTGGGTCGTGAAACTTTGAATAGCGACCTATGTTTTCAGGACGGCTTAAACTCCTTAAGAATACTTATCATTATTTAACTAAGTATTTTAAACACGTTACAAACAGTAGATATTAAGTAGAAGGTTTGATTTCCATCCTACTACCTACGAAAATAATGATATTTATTGGCATGTGTAAGTAATCTGACGATTTTCACTTAAGAAAGAGATATGCGCGAATAAATCTGTGCAGTATCTGACTATTAGTGACATATTATGATAGGACAGATCGTCTATGCTTTTAGTTACACTTTCGTTAGTTTAAGACGCGGGTCCACGGATGCGAGACACAGTTTACTTTCAACGGTGTCTTATATACTGACATTAAACTTAATATTCAAAAAGTTACATTCAACGGGTTAAGAAAAGGGGGTATTTTCAGGTGATCATGAAAATCATCATCTGGAATTCATTTTCTACTTTAATTTTTGTATTTTCAACTTACTAATATAATGGTACTAATGGTTACGTCAAATGAATTAGCACTTCTACTTATTGGGATTGTATACTTATAATAATCAATCTTATCCACCCGAGGCAAAGACAGCTCAGTAGCTACGAAATTATATAGACCTTTTCCCAAAATTAATATCTATTTAATCTCCTAGTCCTGAATAGGTCGCTACAAAGTTTCACACAGACGTATTTCAAAACCCAAATAATAAATAATTTTAAGATAACGAATAAGGGGTGATTTTTCAATGGTTAGATAATATTTAGCTGGGGAATAATTATGATGCTGTCGCGTCAGAATGTTTCTATAAGACAAGTGACAGCAACAATTTAATTCCACAGATAACATTATCTGACTATTGAAAAATCAGCCCACATACGTGAATAAACTGAGAAAAAAAAAATCTCTCACGTCGAAGCTCGTCGTCGCGACGCGCACGCTGCTCATGAATAAGAGTCCCGGCATGACTTGAAACTAGTCGAGCATATCTCAGTTAATTCACGTGAGTAAGTCTATTATTTTCAAGAAATTTATGTATGTCTCACGGTAGTTACTATTCAAAAATAAATAAATATATTTATTACGAAAAATAAATAAAACTGGTTTAATTTATTTTTATTTGGGTTCAGAAATACAGCCAGTACCCACCTCTGATTAGTCTGAGAGCATTGTATCTCTTAAACATGTTGTAGTTAAAATTGCGCCGCGAAATCCAGACACCTGTGAAGCCAGTTAACAAATTAATAAGTGTTTCAAATATTTAACACACTCACTTCAGCCTGTATGACTTATCGATCAGTAAGTATAAAAACTCTTTCATTGCTGAGAGACAAAATCGTATATGGAAAGCTTATAAATTTTTTGAAATTATACATTTGAGTTTGCTCCTTCATGCCTCTAATTAATTAAATATATAGGTAAGTCATTCTTGTATCAGTAGCTACGTACTACTGATACAAGAATGACTTAACTGTCAATATTACCAGTACCTTTATATTACTAGAAACAGAATATAAAACAATGACGATTTCTTCAGAGAAATCGTCATATATGACCATATATCCCCTTATGTTATATGGTCAGAGAAATAGTAAACTTAAATCTCTAAAACTACGCAACGGATTTTGATGCGTAGTTCTATTAGATATAGTGATTGAACAGGAAGGGTTATATGTCTTATATAATCCACTAGCTACTCTCACGTGGTTTCACCCGCTGCTCAGCTCCATTTGATCGTAGCGTGATGTTTTATAGCACTCAGGAACATTGTAGCTATCTATCAGTGAAATAATTCTGGCAATCCGACCAGCGGTTCCAAAGATTACCTCCTACATACAAACTTACAAATTTCAACTCTTTGTAATATTAGTATCTAGATTAAATAATAAAGAAATTTAGCATTAGCATTGCACCCGTGCGAGATCTTATTTCTTATTAAATGTTGTAATAATGAATTAAAAGGGTGAATCATAACTTATTCATATAGCAATAAATGCTAAAGATTATATTTTCTACAGTAACATACAACAATTAATGGTAAAGTTATTAATATTTATTATCTAATACAAGCAACTTTGTAGCTAATTAGTTTTACAAGATATTTCAATTAGTGACGTGAACATAGTGTAGTATTACGTCCACAAGATGGCAGACAAGTATTTGATTGACAAATAGGTACACAGCATAATAAGCTACACTAAATATCTAAAAATGTTAATTGATTTTAACCCTTACTACTAAACTTATAGTGTCGAGAATCTGCTGAAGAAAATCGTCAATTTTAAGAAACTTGATGAGCAAGTGTCTACGTTAAATGAAGTGGTATGAATATCGGGGATATACCTGATCCCAAAGATACTAAACACATCGTATAGTGATTTATAAATTAGCAATTTTAATGACGGAAATGACTATAACTTTAATGGGTCTGTTTATAAAACATATATATAAGTAGTGGTTGCTCATAAAACGTGTTATTCCCAAACTATATAAATTTGATATAAATATAATTGAGTCAAAATCCCATAAAATATGAATAAAGGCACTTATTATTTGATATTTTTGGATTACGTAATGGGTTTTAATCGAAAAACCGTTACTATTTAAACATCTACAACAAGCTACAGAATTAAAGAAAGAAACAACATGTTTTCGAGCCTGTAAAAACGAATCTGAAACACTAATTACTTAATCAAAAACAAATCGATTAACTTACCCATAGCGGCGCAGTGTAGCATGGTTGCAAAAGCAAGCGCATATTTCCAATTAAACAAAAACATAATTAATTTACCTACTATTTGTTACAGATTAATATTTTCGAACAAATATATTTACGAAGTTTATTGTTCGAAGAAATGTTCATGACTGCTTTGTGTGTCTCGCCAGTTCGCAGTTCATAACTTGATACGAGCTACTGCTTGGCGTACTAACGATATTAGTTACGCGTATTTGCTGTACCGTGCTCTCTAAATTAGGGTAGCAACTAAACGCTTAACATTACCAGTTCGATTGGGAAAATATTTGATAAAAACATCCCTTAACAAAATGCAGAAACAAACTAATATTATAAACGGCGCGTAGCATTCCGCGCGCGCCTCAAAGCGCCAATAGACCACCACAGATGGGGCCCTATAGGGCTGATGTTCAGCCGGGGTGGCGGGGTAAGCGGAATGAGGCACCGTGACCTCGGCCCAGAGCATGAGAAGGAACAGGGGGGTTTTTAGTCAGTAAGAGTCTGACACTCCCTCCCGCTCGGCCCTGGGCGGGAGAAGAAATTTGATGATTTTCCCCTCACAAAAAAACTAATATTAGAAATGCGCAAATAATTCTGTCTGTCTGTGTTTTTTTCACGCCTAAACTACTGCACCGATTTCTGTGATATTTGGTACAGACATACTTTGAAACTCCAGAAACGACATAGGATAGTTTTTATACCAAACATCTGCAGGAAATCACTATTCCACGCGAACGACGTCGCGGGAAAAAGCTAGTTGCCTATAAATGACGTCAATTGGGACTGGTCAGCTCCGGACTGCCCGTTGTTAGGTAAGGTTTGTATTTCTTTGAATATCTAAATATTAGTGTTACACTGTTGTCACATAATCTATAATTGAAACAACTAAATAATCTGTATATAAAACTGATTTAAAAAGAGTAACGATGGATTTTCTTGATCTTTTCCATTGGAATCTACACTTTGGAACGAGCAATTAGCTTCGTAGACTGACCGACCTAGTGACGCTTTTTATCTTTAAGCTTGTTACGCTCAAAAGTGCCTGTAGGGTGTAGCTGAAATAAATGATTATGACTTTTTTAAAATAAAAGAGTTTTTTTTTTGAGTAAAAAGTTCAAAGGCAAGGAGTGTCAGACTTGCTAAATACACGCCTGTCCTTCTTCTGTTCTGAGTCGGGATCGCGGTAAGTTATTGCGCATTCATCCCGGATAAATAAAAAGTTTAAACACATTTTTTTTCGAAACATTGAATTTAATTAATTAAATGAATGAGACATTGTACATGTTATTATATCGAAGCATATTATAGCGTATTCAATCAAGAGTTGGTTGGAAATGGTATGGTTTATTATAATTAACAATAAAATCTTAATTAAAAAAATACTTTAATTACCTTGCAGTAGTTTTGACGGTAAGTAAGTACTTTCTACTCATAATATTCTTTGAATAATTACTTATTTTAATTTTGATGCACTGTAAATTGATTAAACATTTTTTATTTATGGCAATTTCAGTATATCATTCCAAAAGAATATTATGATTCGGTACCTACATCTCATGATTTATCTCAGTTGACAGTTTTCCCCATCGCCCTATACCTAATTGCAAGTTTGATTTGATCGGATCTATGATCACAGACACAACGTAATAATCAAACTATTAATTTGCAAAATAAAAACTAAACGCTTTGAGCTTTAACCTGTGTAGGTAATTCGCATAAATTGAATCCTCATGACGTAAAATAGTTGACCTATAGTATTATCAACTCATTTTTGCGAAATGTCTTGTAAACGGAAAATAATAGGTCTTTACTATAAGTTTACCGTTTTTCATAAAATGAATGAAGTTCTTTTCTATTTTTTTTTTAATTTCTATTAACCACTTCTATGGGTGATTAATTACATGTTTATTCTATTGTTTTACTATTATGTCTATTTTGCCAATGCATGGTAGCTTATTGGAGAAATCAGCAGCACAAGATGTCACAAATTGTTTAAAATTATTTTGCCTTTCGGTTATAGAATGGTTTTCCTAGAGCTTATCCAAATTCTGGAAAAAAGTAGAAGTCTGTAGGCGTAAGGTCTGGTGAGTGTGGCGAATATGCATAACTTCCAACACCAGTTCTGAAACTTGGATACCGTCTGTTGTACAGTGTTTGCCTACGTTTGACCAAAGCTGGTTGAAGACTTGCGAGCTTCACTACATTGTGTTCAGTTCTTTACAGTACACATATGCAGTAATGCTCATTACGTTTGGTAAGAAGCTGTGATGGATTCTAGCGTTAGACCAGCAAAGAGTAGCCATCACCTCACTAGGGGTTTTTTAATAAACCTCCCGTTCCTTCTCCTGCTCTTCTCCTGCTCTAGGCCGAAGCCGCGGTGCCACATTGCGCTTACCCCGCAACCCCGACTAAACATTGGCCCTATAGGACTCGTCTTCGGTGGCTCTTTGAGTCGTGCGCGGAACGCAACGCGCCGTTCGGTCGGGTATGGTTCTGGCAACGAGCTGCCCTTAGTCACCGACCGCAGACTCTTGTACCAACTTGTACTCCATAATTACCTACTCGAATTTTTAATAAACTTCTTACAAAATAAAAAATGTGATTTGAAATGGCCACGGTATGGCAGAATGGCAATTTCAAAAGTAAAGTCCTATTATTATTTGTTGATCATCATCATCAGTCCGTTAGTGCTCACTGCTGAGCAAAGGCCTCTTCTCACACGGAGAAGGTTTAGAGCATTAATCACCACGCTTGCTTATTGCGGGTTGGCGATTTCAAACTTATAATTAGAAATTATAAGTCCAGGTTTCCTCACGATGTTTTCCCTCACCGTATGTCAGTGGTGTCTAAATGATCATAGAAAGTACATACAACTTGGAAAAAGTTGTAGAGTAAAGTATTTGTTGATGACTCCCCTTAATCAGCAATGTGTGCCCTGAAGAAGAATATGGGTCAAAACTTGTAAGTTAGATTTTTTTGTGTCATTGAAACACCAGTTACATAAGATCTAAGTAGCTTATGGCTTGAGTAATCATTCTATTTCTATTTAGTAAACTATTATTGTATGTTTTCTTACGATTGCTACACTAATGACATAGCCCTGATCTGTTTTATCTATCATATTTATACATTTTAAGATAGCATTCTTCTTCTTGACAACGCACCTATAATTCATATAGTGTTAGGGTGTTCATGTTAGAGCTGATCGTTTATCATCAGGTTATCTGTTTAAGCACTCACCCCCATAAAAGTAATGGTCAGAATCCATATTTAAAAAAAAAATTGGAAAACTATGCTTCGGCATGAATTGGCTGGCTCGGCCTCACAGAATACCGGTGGGAAAATAACATCTACGTTTTGTGAGCGAGGTTATCGGAGGTAATCCTCTCCCCCATCCTCAATCCCTAAATCGCTTTCCTGAAGGCTTAAATTTGTAGTAACCCACATAAGTGCGGTAACGTACTTTGGTATTATGAGTAATCATGGTCGGAGTCGATTGCTTATTAATCTGTTTTATGCTTATTCATTCCCATTAAAATGGTTGTTGTAAATACCAACTCCTATTACAATTAGTGGCTCTTAGGACTCGAGACTTTGGTATATTTATAATCCACCATTTTGCTGATTTCATATAAAGCGACATGGATTGCGCCATAACAAAAAATTGAAGGCATTTTTACCTAACTACGGCAAGAAAGAAGAAAGAAAGAAAAGGCAAAGCAAAAGGAGGGTTATTGGGTTATGAATGTATGTATCTATGTATGTATGTATGTATGTATGTATGTACTCGTATGTATGTATGTATGTATGTAAGTATGTATGTATGTTCACCTGTTCTCTCGTCACTACTAAACTACTTATCAGAATTCAACAAATGACATATTATTAGAAACGTCTTAATTGTCCGCTGGATAGGCTATATGGGGTATCACAAAATAACTAATGTGACGTCCGCTAGAGGACAAAACATTCATAGTAAAAAATAAAGTTTAAGATAAATATGCCTGGTGTTTGGTATCATTTGACAGCGCTTTATCCAAACAAATTATCCTCTTGCCAACAATGGTGATATAAATATGAAATATTACCTAACCTAACTTGTTATATAAGTTTACTTTTAGTTGTCTGGTTAGGTTTCTCCCTCTTATAAGAATCAATTCTAGGAAACATAAACTTAGGTATTTGAAACCTATTTTACACATTTTATCATTGCATGTAGGTATGACCTTTTCTTTCTTTGCTTTAAGATTCCATTTTATTCTGCACAGATTATTGTTTAAAAGAAAACTGCCATCATCATCATGGCTACGTTTAATTCATCATCGTCAGTTCATTTCTATTACTCTTACTTATAACATCGCTACATATTAGTTAATCTATGATAATAAATAATATATGTGTGACTAGATTCTGAAAAGTTTCTTGCTTGTTTTTCTCCATTCGAATCTACATTTTGGAACGAGCACCTAGCTTTACTGGCGAACAGACTGACAGACTATTTTATTTTTACGTTTCAAAAGTTGGAATAAATGATTCTGACTTTGACTTTTTATCATTATGTCAAGTAGGTATGTATGTATGTACTAATAAATGTAGGTAGATGGTAGGTCTCATTTGATGATTTCCCCTGACAAAAAGGTAAATTAACTAAAAATCGCGAGTTACTCACGTGTAAATATTGAGAAAAGCTCTACTAGTTTCGAACCACAGAGGGGTTCTTCCTCATAAGCAGCGTGCGCGGACGCGGCGACGTCGCGCAGCCTACAGTCCTCAGTAGGCCGCGATTTTTAGTTAATTTAGTATGTCTTACGATAGTAATTATAAAAACAAAAAAAAAGGTAGATGGTAGCTAAACCATCCTTATTGATGTAGCATGCAATTTTTATTAGCAAAAAAATTCAGAATTCACATGGCGGTCAAATAAGTTACAATAAAAACAATAAGATATCAAATTTTTATGCTCTGGAGATGCCTTAGTCAGCTTCTTACGTACTTTCCTCAAAATTTTGCATCCAACATAACGAGTTTTAGCTTTCGTAAAGAGTTTTACGTCAGAATCCAACGTCATTCTTTAATGGTGGTCTTAGAATACCGTTATGCAAACTTCCTTCCTTCATATTTACTAAATTTAAAAAAGGAAAGGACGTCGGTTACTGACGTCATAAATGTTTGGTGCGCATTTATGTCGAAGTGGCGGTGGATGAATGGAGTTATATGTACTTTCTATATAATTAAGGCACTGATATACGGTAAAGGAAAACATTGTGAGGAAACCTGCACTTATAATTTCGAATTAGAAATTTGAAATCGCCAATTGATCCGCCTTGAGCAAGCGTGGCGATTAATGATCAAACCTTCTCCGTGTGGGAATAGGCATTTGCCCACCAGTTGGCCGTTATAGGCTGATGATGTGTGTGTATTTATGATTTAAGTTTGTCATCATTAAGTTTACGTGACATAGCTATGGATCATTTTTACTGAGATGGCCCATAGTATCACTGGTTTGGTTAGGTTAGCTAGCTACAAAGAGGATATAACCACCAGAGAGGTAGTTATATCGTCACTGGCTAGCTAGCTAATACGTAGGATGTCTAGGCCCAAGGTAGGGCGGAAAAAAATACCCTCCGTTCCTTCTCCTGCTCTAGGCTGAGGCCGCGGTGACTTATGCACTTGCCCCCGAACCATGACAATTGGCGTCATCACACAGCTATTTAAAGTTTCTAAAACTACTATAGTAGGTATCTAAGTATGGGTAAGTTCCAAGGTCATTCAACTTCCTAGTTCCAATTGATTCTTGGAACGATTTAAATTCTCTTTAGGCTCCTGACCACATTGTTCTAATCGATCTGTCGACGTAATGCAATATTTTTGCGTTTATAATAGGTCCGTACCAAATTGGGAATTGCTTTTTCTTTTTTGGTTTGTTCACCAAAATGAATCAGAGTCAATGGTATTACTTTCTAGAAAAAACGTAATCTTTATCAATGAGCTACATCAATTTGATCCTATTACTTGTTACTGATATTGCCATATTAGGTTTAATTGATTTCTTTCTTAAATTAAAGAAAGTTTACATTGGTTACAATAGAAAGTGCTAATTTTTTTATAACATAGCTCGGCAAACGACCAGCCGGGTTACCTGGTGGTAAGCAATCTAGGCTGCACATGGATACTCGCAGTACCAAAAGTGGTAACTACAAGAGGGTTATTACTTTATTAGGGATTTAAGTATAGGATTTACTGTTAAGACTATAGAGGAGTTGCCATTTTAGGTTGCTCTTCGTCGAATAATGGTACCTATTCATCTGTACCTAGAACAACAGAGAACAGAGAACAGAGTTCATGACAAACAAACGTAAGTATGACTTTATTTATATTTTATTACATTTGATAACCGAGGCTATAACAAATTGAATTAGTTAAAGGCGTATCTTGAAAATTGATTATGATATCACAATATTAACAACTACAAGTAAGTAATAAACTTACTAACACCTTACAAATACCATGATTAAGTATATTTAAACAATTGTATTGTTTCAACATGGACTTATCGTCCCCATTTTCTGTAATTCTAGAATTCGAAAGGAAAAACAATTGAATTACTTTAAATTGGGAAAATTCAGTTACCTATTCTTTTGTTTTGTCGAACTGTGAAAAATGTATAGGTAGTGTATATGTATACATATATAGAGGTACGTACTTATTTACTTATCCGCATCAAATTCGTTCTTGTACCTAAGCAAGATATTAAACTTTGAATATTTTGCTTAAGATTCTCAATATATCTAGTTTTACCTAGATTGTGAAGTTCAAGACTGTGTTGTGTTTATGATATGACTGTGTGTCTATAATATGTATAATCTCTAATTGAAAGCACCTTATATATTTTTTTCTGTAAGGCAAAATCATCACAATGCCACGTAGTATATCTTATCTAATTAAAATCAATAAAAGATACATAATTTACTCTGAAACAGAAAATAATTTCTATCAGAAAATATATTCTATAATATCTATAATAATACACCTTAATCCTAAAGCATTTAACAATAAATTGTGTAAATTGCTTAGGCCTGACTTTTCAATGGTTAGTTAAAAGTTACCTGGGGAATAATTATGACGCTGTCGCGTCCGAATGTTTGTATAAGACAGTGACAGCAACAATTTTACTCCTTAGATAACATGTAAGTATCTGACTATTGAAAAAACAGCCCTTTTCTATTCCGTGCATGACTTCAAGTAGAGAAAACCAAATTTTTTTTTTGTGGTATAAGTCGCCAAACGAGCAGACTGATGGTAGGTAAGCAATCGGCGCCGCCCATGGACACCCGCAACACCAAAGGAGTTACGAGTGCGTTGCCGGCCTTTTGGGGATGGGGGTTACGGATATAAGGATTGGGAAGGGATAGGGGAAGGGGAGGGATTGGGCATCCGGTAACCTCACTCACACGGCGAAACACAACGCTGTGGGTTGTTTCACGCCGGTATTCTGTGAGGCCGTGGTATCACTTCGGTCGAGCCGACCCATTCGTAAAATTCCCGTTATCTGAATTCATGCAAAAAAAAAATCTCGCTATCTGTACCTCAACTAACTTTTATTGTTTCATTTTGCATGCTGCGTAAGTACATAATTAGCGAAACATGCTGTACTTTAATACTATTTTGTAAAACCTTCTTATACCATGTTTTAAGGAAATAAATATTATGACAATCGTATATGTATATATAAAACCAAATTTTCGTAATATTAATGACAAGCTTAGATAGAGGCTTAGAGGCTTTTTGCTGTGCTGTTACAATTATAAAATTCCGACAATCTCAATTTTTTTTTATTGTGCCTAGTCATCAAATTACTTCTCTGATGTCGGGTGGGGCGAGAAAGAGTGTCAGACTGTTACTGATTTAAAGCCATCACCAAGCCTTCCCCTGCTGCAGACTGGGGTAGCCGAACATTAAAGCACTTGCCCTCACAACCCTGAAAATTTAAAACAAACCTCCATTCTGAACAGACATTGAAGGCATTTTTTCAATGACAAAAATAGTACCAAGCTTATATATTCCTTTGTTTTGTCTTCTCTGCACTACTTATTAATATTACTTTATTTATGTGCACTCGGCAAACTAGTTGTATGCAGGTAAATAACCTGCAATAACAGTAAAAAAGGCTAGTCGACTAGAGGCGAAATAAGCGCCATCTCACTGACACTTAAGTAGAAACTAAATGTTTTTTTTATGAAAAAAAGTAGGTAGGTAGGTATCTACATACACATAAGTAAGTACAGTGCGGCCGACGTATCTTGGCGAGTCTGAAGTTAGCCGTTTGTCTGCGCAATGGATCTTTTAGGAACAAAATTGTGTACTGCGCAGCTAATCGGCTAACTTCAGACTCGCCAAGATACGTCGGCCGCATTGTATGTAAGAAAACGGCTAAAGATATCTTAGTGTGTTTCCCCGCGGAACTAGTATGGTAATTGACCGACACATTTATCTTCGTCGATGACCCTCGCCGTCATTATGTCCATCTCCTCTTTTGAACGGTGTCGCCTATACCCATTTATACCTATAAAACAAATTACAAGTTCGAAATGAGATAAAAAAACAACAACACAAGGAAAATGACACATGTGTGACCGGAGTTTGTAAACTTGTATAAAACGGACCGCACGCTCATTCTGCTACGGACTTTATCAGCGGATAACGAATCCTAGCTGACAACACAATAATATAAAAAATAAAATAAAATATTATATAAGAATAAAAAATAAAACAAAAATACCTAATACAAATTCTTCGTTTATGTTGTGTGTTTCGATTATACTTATTCACAGTGAGTCAGTGAAGTAATTGTGTTATTTAAAAATCGATTTTAGAAAGTGATGTGATATACCTATTTATTCTAAAATACGTAATTAAAAATGTTTAAGTTTGCGACGACCGTGACAGTGTGCCTTCAATTACTGCTTCAAGTGAATTGCTGTAAGTACAAATCGATTTTACACCTGTCACATTAATTGTTACATACGTCAATGAATTGGAACGTTTTGTTAATCAGTGTTGTTTTATGACCGCGCTTAGTTGAGACAGAATAATTACTTAGATATCCACTGACATCTTTTATTTAAAAACATAGTAAGATAATGTACTCTATTATGACTTAACATAGGACGCACAAGTATTGGATAAATACTTCAAACTAAAGTATCATCGCCATTAATATAAAGTGTTTACATTTAATTTACAATAAACACTGTTGCGTCGTCTAACATCTACTAACTTATAATTATGCCACACACATAAAGTATCTACTTGTATTTTAAATTTATTATTAATTTATGTTAATCAATATTCTTTTTTTAAATATAGAAGGGACGTAGGTATCTATTTGTTGATAGCTGTGACACAGCATAATAATATAAACAATACCTGGCCATAAATAATGTAACTTTTCAATTACATTTTTTTCTTGTTTTTTTTTTTATATTTTTTTGTCTGTGTGCGATCATGGCTGATTTACAATGAAATTGATAGTGTTTTTATAAGTTAAGTTATAGAGGGGTTATGTTTTTATTATTTAAATACATATGTAGAATTGTAGGTGTACACATAATACGAGTAAAAAGGAAGGTGCTAGACGTTAAACCAAACGAAATATTTAAATAATAATTAATGTACACTCTTCAGCAATAGGTACAGTTTGAAAAATAGATAAGTTGGTTTTGTTTCTTGTAGTAATGTTATTATATCATTTCCTTTAATCTCGATATTTATGTACTATAAAAGCAAGGTTGAATGACCTTTAATCAGGCACATAGAGAATATTCTACTTAACCTTTTAATCGTGGTAGTTCGAGACACAATAGAAAAACAATAATTCCGCGAACGCCGGCTTTCGCTTGATGAATTAAATCACGAAATAGTTGCCAATGCTATGTATCCAGCCAGGTACCACAAGTACCTGAGAGTACAGATATAAGTATTAATTCTAATAAAAAAGGAATTAGTCAATAAAATAAACCAATTTCCAAAATGATCTCGTTCCATCATCAATAATGTACCAAGTCCCAAAATATTATGCAATGCCAGTTTCTGTCGAGATATCTTGTCCTTGGACCCTGTTTGTTACAATTGCAAACTTTTATCATGACTGATTTAATTTTGAATACTAAAAAGAAATATAAACATTTCTTAGCTTTTTTTTATAAAATGTACAAACGAATGTGATTGGTTGTCGAGTATCATACTTATTTCTATTATTTATACAAAACGAAAATTTAGAACTATATTCTATCACTTGCTAGATATTACCTTTAGGATATTACCTGAGTTCTACAGTGTACATTTACGAACAAAATTTACGTCAAAATTATCATACGATATCGCGAAAAATACAATACACAATTTGGCGATGGCAGAAATGAATACATATCTGTTCTCTGCGGGTGTTTAAAGAAGTGACCAAGAGAACAAAATCTAAACTAATAATAAAGAGGTAAAAACTTTAAGTTTGTACCTAGGTAGAGGGTAATCTTTGGAACCTCTGGACGGATTGGCAAAATTCTTCCACTTATAGCTACAATGTTCATGAGCTAAGTCTATAAAACATCACGCTACGATCTGTAAGAGCCAAGCAGCGGGTGAAACCATGAGAGCAGCTAGTTTGACATAAACCAAGCCGAAGCGCGATCTGATCATCTTGAATTTCTTTAGGGCGATCTCCATCCCGACTGCAAAACGTTTGGAGCAAGGAAATTATCACACAGCTTCTTAAGTAGAAGACATTCATAGTCAAGAATCAAGAATAAAACAATAAAATTATAATATCCCACAATAGATACTCTGGGAAACCTTAAAATCATGACTAACGGGGCAGTCCAAAAATACACACATAAAACAATTATAAGTTACGTCCAATGTAGATCTCCTGATACATTTCCAAGAAAAATACGTCTTAAAAACCCATGAAATATAAATAATTGCTTTTAAATGTCTTGGAATCACAGTTCATCATATTTTATTACAATTAAAGCATTCGTTACGATCCATCGCCTTCTAAGTTGTTGTTACGAAACCCTACGTCATTGGTGAGCTCGCAACGGAAAGACAAGTTTACTACTATTGTTTAAGAATGAAGACGGGGTTATAATTGTTTAAGTGTATTATTAATCTTAGTCATTTTATTATTTAATTGATTTGTTTACTGACCGTTGAACCTGATCAAAGATCTATAGACAAAAATAATTTTAAACTTGTTTGGTATGTTGATAAAAAGCCTATGTGTTGTAATCCAGGGTTGTGTCCAAATAACATCCAAAAATGAGGTTGGTACAGCCGTTTTTTGCGTGAAAAAAAACCTTCTCACAAACTTTCACATTTGTGATATCAGTAGGAAGTTTGCATGGACAATTGTAGGAATTCCCAATAGATACTCCCAAGGTAAATTAGATCAAAATGATTAGGAAAAAACGCTAGTTGACACAAGCACTCCAAAACAGCATTTAAGTAGATTAGTCGGTACCTAATTACAAAGAAAATGAGGTATGTTTTATGAACACTACTTGGAAAGTTACTCATTTATTATCTTAGACGATAATTAGGTATTTACTACTTACTAATCGATATTTGCAATTCGGCGAATTAGTGTCACGCTTATGTGCACAGTTTAAGACATACAGGAACTATTCCATGTTTTTTATGGGATGGGTCGGCTAACGAGCAGGCGGATTATATGATGGTAAGCAATCGGAACTGTCCAAAGGAGTTACGAGTGCTTTTCCGGCCTTTTGGGGTTTACTATTATTATTAATTTACCAAACCCCAAGCGATGGAGTTTTTTGCTCGCTCTTCTCCATTCGAATCTACAATTTGGAATGAGCACCTAGCTTCACTGACGTTCTTACGGACAGACTACTAATCTATTTTGACGTTACAAAAGTATCTTTTTTTAGACCTATTTTTTAAGTACCTATGGTTTAGTTGGAATAAATGATTTTGGCTTTGACTTTGAACGCGTTCGCGCAACTATTATGTCTCGAATTACCACGGTTAAAAGGTAAAGTATAACCTTTATTGTTTCAGTGTATTCTGGAGACAACTGTTCTGTTGGCAATGAGATCGGTACCTGTTTACCTCTGCAGCAATGTCGCCACATCTTCGAAGAAGTGAAGAAGGCAGGCAGTCCCATACCACCATACATGAGCCACAAACTACACAGACTGACTTGCGGTTTTGAGTCTGTTATGCCTATGGTAAGTTCAATTCTACTCTATGTTCTATTTTTAAAAGGGTTGGACCTTCTAGAATAGAAAGCATAGAGTAGGACCCTTCACTTTTAAGAATATAAAACGCCTTTGAAACTCCTCTTTCTCTGTTTTTGTGGGTGTTTATAGGCGATGTTAGTTGGTCACCATCAGGCGACCCTTATACTTCTTCTTTTCACATCATATTTGTGTCGTTATCCTGTCCCTTATGAATCTTTCTTGGTAGTTTCCCCATCAAAATAATGGTCCACACTGTTATCTTAACTCCGACACAGTCTGACACTCCGAGACACGATCTCTGACGAGCGAGTAAGGGTAGCTCGCCGCCCGCCTAGAAACAGACGGCAGACCCTACAGCGTACGACGCTTAGCGTTTCGCGCGCGCCTTAAAGAGCCAATAGACCACCACTGAAGGCCCTGAAGGGTTGATGATGATGATCGGGGTCGCGGATCGGTATCGCGGGGCAAACGCAATAAGGACCGCGGCCTTGGCCCGGAGCAGGAGACGGAACTGAGGGGTTTTTAGTAAGAGTCTGACACCGTGTCATTGTCAGTCAGTTTGTCCCTCCTGCCTGACCCTGGGCGGGAGAAGTCATTTAATGATTTTGGTCTTACAAAAAAAGAGAGTAAAGACACTCGCTCTCGCCATGCGTATGGTGAGACTTCAATAATTATTGTCATACAAAAACAACTCAGTTATCTATTAGTTCTCATAAAGTTTGACATTTCATATACTAATTGCATAGGTCAATCACCTAATGTCAAATGCTTGATGGTAATTATGTGCAATTTTGCAATGAAATATTTAATTGCTGCTTGCACATTAATAATTATTTTAATTAAAAGTAGATATCAAAAACAACAAGCAGTCGTCTTTAAAATATTTAATAATAGTACCTATCTGTCTGTGTTTAATCAAGTGCTCTTTAATCAGGCGATCTTTTGTTAATCTTAATTTTTCTCGAAGGCGAAAATTGTCTATTGTGTTTTCTTCAGCTTGGCGGAGCGAGAGAAAGCGTCAGACATTTACTGACTGGAGTAATTTTTTGAATTAGCTAACAAGGGTGGTATGCAACTTTATTTGATAGGGTTCAGTTACCACGTAATTTTTTGTTTTGATCGGGGCAAATCATCCTACGGGCGAGAGATGGTGTCAGACTATCACTAACTAAAAACCATCCCAACCTGCTTCAGGCCGAGGCCGCTGTACATCACCTATTAAGCTCACACCAGCAGCCATCTTTGTATTTGTATTTTTTGTGACTTACGATCAAATTAAACTAGAAACCTACTTTTATTCCTTTGTCCTATGCAACAGACTGATGTCCCAGTTCACAGTGTTATTAATGTTAACTTTTCTATATATCTAGGTCTTTCACAATGTTTACCTACATTTTAAATAAAATGTTGTTAGTAAGCCTAACGGTTATTTCTTTCGGGTTACTTTGCTTTGTATTGTTTTAGAATACCGTATATATTTTAAAAGCACGGTTATTCAAGTTCATTGTACAAGTTTTCACAAAAGAAACATGTCATGAGTGATTATTTAAATTTTGAAGAAATCCTTATTTAATTATAACATATTTCGTGGGAATTTCCGAAATTATTATATTCTTAGAAGGTCAGTTTATAGTATTTAAATGACTCAGATAAGTGGTTTATTAGCGAGAAATGAGATGATATTGTTTTGCGTTGTAAATTTTATTTTTGTAAACAATCCAAACATACCTACGTGTTAATTGGAAAGACCGTCTCAGTAATGAAACAATGAGAATATAGTGAGTCATGGAGAGCAGACAGACTTGAAATACCCATGGTCTCCTGAGCAGTGTCAATATTGTTCGAGTAGACACATGGGAAATAGAACAAATTATTTTCTTTTTTGTGCTTTTGTAAACCAAACATCGTTATTGAGGTTATGATCACAATTGACTGAGTAAATACACAATGATATAGAATAATTAATGATAGAAATGCTTTAACAAATCCATGTCGATTTAAGTGTGGGAGAGCTATTCGGCACAAATGGGCCAGCTCGATCGGTGTGATACCACGGCCTTATAGAATGTCGGGGTGAAACAAGGGCACAACACACCCTTATACAATACCAGCATGAAACAATTGCGTTATATTTACTATGGTGGGTGCGGTTACGGGAGGTCCAAACTATCCCCTATTCCATGATTCTCAACCCTCAAATCCACCTTCAAAAGGCCGCCAACGTACTTGTAAATCATCTGGAGTTAATTATTTACCATCAGGTCCGTCAGCTCATACAAATCATGCTCATCAAGAAAGAAAATAAGCCAAAATTCATTATATCATATTTGTGTATTTACGCCAAAATAACTTTGTAATGATGTATTTCCAGATATGCTGCATAACATCAGCTCAAATGCATGGAGATATCATAAATCCAGATCGCAACACTAACACAGTTGGTTCTGGAGATGACGTGGAACCGTTCACCAGAGCGACACTCGAAAACAAAAATGGACCAATTTTTGTAGATGGTCATCCCAACTTGAGACTTCTGCCCCTTCAATGTGGAAACATCGAGAGTGATAGAATATGGGGCGGCAATAGAACACGATTGTTTGAAATGCCGTGGATGGTACTCCTGTCTTATGACTCGGGTAAGATTGACTTATAGGCCTATAACTAGATGATATTCTGTGATGGTCATATGGTCCAAAGATCACATATAATATATTTTAGAGTAGGTACTAGCGCTCCGACCCTGCTTCAAACAGATGTTCAACTAACTCGCTAACGTAGAAAGGGTGACTATATCCCAATTCTCTCGTTCACTTTTCTAAAATATTTTGTCATAAGAACTATCGCCTACCTAAAATAAGTACAACCAAAAAATTTGCCAAAATTGGTCCTAGCGTCACGTGCTTAGCAACACATTCTATGATTCACCTACCTAGATATACTATAAATACATATAAATAAAAAGTACAGGGCAAAGTCCGTAAAATATTTTTCAGACATTTTACTTTCACTTTAGTCTTTGTCAGATCACACAGTCAAAGTTTTGGTTTTTTTAGCACTAGACAACATCAACAACACAACGTCCTAATATTTCTAGATATCGCAATTTGATGTATTTTAATGTGACTTCAGTATTTTTTTACATACACTAATAAAGAGACTCTTTTGTAAGTCGCAGTTGTCTTCAGTTTTGGCAGACGAGTGCATAAGGATGAGTCATCCATTAGTTTCTTAAACCTAAGTAGAGTAAAAAATTGTTGAGTACGATCTTAGTATTTGTAAATGTATTTTTCTTAATGACAGAACAAACAATGATAAATTAAAGTAAGCTTCTTATCCTGAAGATCGCCTTGTAACATTATGATTGTAACTTGTTCAATCTCATTTTATTGTATTCTTGATCTAGTGATCAAAAGAGCGACAGTGGAATATCAATATGTGTATTCACTGTCGATATATCGATATATCCAGATTATCCAGACTACAGTTTGGATAAAAAGTAAAATACCGTACCTAAATACCGTAGTTTTCAAAAAGTCAAATTAAATATTTTTATTCAAATGTCAAAAACGTCAATTTTCTATGAAATTTGTATGAAACACTGAGTTATGACGTCATAGTATTTTTGTGTCAAACAGCGAACTTATTTCTTAAAAATTGCCAAAACATATCTAAATTTAGCGTATTGATCGATCGATGAATAAAAGTATAGTTATTTCTCAATATTTTATTGTATTGAAACGTATTAATTTATTGTTGACCTAGGAAACTACCCAATTGGTTCTGTTTATATGGATGTTTTCATCGCTTTCCTTTTGGCAACATGTAAATAACAACAACTTTTCATAACAACGGGCATAAAAGGATAGGTTCAATAACAAACATTTTTTTTTATTTTATGAGTCGGCAAACGAGCATGCAGATTACTTGATGGTATACTATCAGTGTCGACCCGTTTCAGCACTTAAACACCAAAAAACGTTATTTCACGATAGCTTACACAGTAGTCCAGCTGACCTATTTGTGCTGAAGCATGGATCTCCCACATTTATGTAGCTTTTGCTTCATTAAAACCCCTCAAGAAATTTTCTGTTGGATGTAATTAAAGGGCACTAAATGTATATTCCAAGTCATATAGGAGCAATAACAATAATGATAATTTTCAATGATATTATAAATAAAATGGCATAGATAGGTTACATAAACAACATTCGATTTTTAAAAACGGCACACTTATGCGCACATGAATAAATCATATGTTACACGTTAAAGTGGGATGGCATGATTCAATAATCTCGAGTGAAAAAGAGACAAATATGAAAAAGTGTGGCTAGTTAGCCACATTTTAATGTATCACTTGCTGAGCGCTTGTAACCTATCTACACCTTTTTACTTATATAATATCATTGATAATTTTCTAAAGCATGACCTTATTTCCAGCTCGAGGAACGAAATTGAGTTGTGGTGGTTCCCTGATCAACGAGTGGTATGTCCTGACGGCGGCCCATTGTGTCTCCTTTCTGGGCAACCGACTGCGGCTGAACGGAGTCGTCCTTGGGGAGTATGATGTTAGACAGGATCCCGACTGTGAGATGTCAGATGGCAAGAAATTTTGTGCCCCCAATATTAGGGTAAGGAAAATGCTTAGTACCTTTGTAGTTTATTACGTAGCTTGAATTTATTTACCTGATGTGAATGCCAGGGAGTATTATACCTTCAAATACCACTTAAGATGTGAAAATATGTCTAAGTATCAAAGAGATCAAGTTAGTTTTAGCTTTGATTTGAAATAAGTTGTACCTACTAAGTACTTACACATAGATATTTGGAAAAGAATTGGACAGGAATTTGGCCTTATCCTTCCCCTTCCCCTAAGCTCTCCTTAATCTTAAAATCTCCAAATCCCTTATCCCCTAAAGGTCGGAAATGCACTCGTTACTGGGTTGTCCATGGGCGGCGCTGATCGCTTTGCATCCATTTGGGGACCAATCACATAAAAAAATAAATTTGGAAAACTTTAGATGCTTATTATTATTTGTATTTTCACAGAACGTTTCAATAGACACAGTTATCGCCCATCCAGGATACTCACCTCAGAACTTAGTCGACGATATAGCCTTAATACGACTTGCTGAACCAGCTGACTTTAGTCTTGGTAAGTTGCTAAATATGGACGGACATCCAAACATGACATTCATCATCATCATCATCATCAGCCTATAAGTGCCCAATGCTGAGCAAAGGCCTCTTCTCACACGGAGAAGGTTTGAGCATTAATCACCACGCTTGCTCAATGCGGGTTGGCGATTTCAAACTTACAATTAGAAATTATAAGTCCAGGTTTCCTCACGATGTTTACCTTCACCGTATGTCAGTGGTGTCTAAATAATCATAGAAAGTACATATAACTCGGAAAAAGTCACATTGGTACTTGCCAGGTTTCGAACCCACACTCTCATGCATGAGAAGCGGGCTCCTTAACCTCCAGGCCACCACGACATTTTGTTAACTCGCAAACATGACATTGTTAACTCGTAAAGTTAATCCATATTATTAACATACTTCCATTACAACTTGAGTGCCAAATGATTGATTGTCACATTCCGTATCCACATTCCAGAAGTAGGATCTTGGCACCCACATCTGGTTGGTGTGGTGGCTGGGCAACTGGCTGCCGTGCAAGATGTCGCGGGTTCGATTTCCGCAAGGAACAACAGTTTGTGTGATCCACAAGTTGTTGTTCCAGGTCTGGGTGTCATGTGTATGTGAAAATGTATGTGTATGTGTGTATGTCATAATCATGACAATGTCTTATTATTTGCAGATAGTATGAAACCGCTGTGCTTACCAGTTTCTCCAGAGCTTCAAAGAGAATCTCTGGTTGGACTTAATGCCGTAGTAGCTGGATGGGGAGTAACGGAGGATGGCCTGGAGTCATCAGTACTACTGAGCGTCGACCTTCCAGTCATCAGCAATTCTGACTGCATGGCTGCGTACAGAGAGTAAGTATTTTTTTGCTTACGGTAAATTTTATAACCATATATCATAACAGAAATAATGTACCGTGGCCTTGTGGCCTGGAGCTGGAGAAAGAGCTTCTTAAAAGGCCGGCAACGCACCTGTGACTCTTCTGGTGTTGCAGATGTCCATCGGCGGCGCCGATCGCTTACCATCAGGTGATCCGTCTGCTCGTTTGCCTCCTATTCCATAAAAAAACAGGGTGGATTAAAGTCAGTAAGACTCTCGCCCCACCCAGGCCCAGAGAAGTAACTCGATCATTTCTCCTACCAAAAAAACAGAACACAACTCCATCTACCTACAGATTACATTGAATTTGGCAGTATACCAACGTTTCTGACATTTTCATTTTATTTATGTAACGAAAGTGATGCCGATAGCATTTTAATGTATTAACCTTATTGTACAAAAGTAGATAACTTACAAGTATTGTAAGTACCTACAACACCTTGTTTGGTTGCAGAAAAGTAACTTACAACTAAACTATAATTTAATTACATCTTTCTGCTTTTATTTTGTGAAGGCAATCTGTTCCAGACGAATGTAGGATGATTTTCGTTTGAACGTTCTTATAAAAATCGACTTTTTTCTTTTTGCAGCTCACTCAAGATAAAAGACACTCAAATATGCGCCGGTGGCGTTAAAGACAAGGATTCTTGCGGAGGAGATTCAGGTGGACCCCTCGTGTATCCAGGGAAAATGGGAAACTTTGGCGTGCGGTATGTCCAACGAGGACTCGTGTCCTTTGGGTCCAAGCGATGTGGATTAGGAGGTTATCCTGGAGTGTACACTAATGTAGCTTACTACATGAACTGGATCTTAGATAATATCCGCAACTGATGTCTGCTGGTTGGTGATAAAACTGAATGAATACTCTAAAGATATGGACTGACCCCAATCACTTGTTTTTGGGGTACTGTTTAATTGATACGAGGAGGTCATGGAATAGTATATATTAGGTATTTCTTCAAATCAGATCTGTTATACGGGTACTATGACTGGTATCAAATTTGAGAGAATTACTTATGAACTTTTTTTTAGAAATGAAATTTGCACAACTATTTAAACAAATATCTGACTGGTCTCTTCTTAAAGTGTAGCTAAGCTTAGTCTGTTTAGTGCCATTTAAATACAAACTTTATTCAAATTTTCAATAATAGGCGTCTTATAAAAATGCTTAAAGTCTATTGACGATCAGTGTAATTTTTCTCGAAAATTAAAACCAAATGGTATTAGAAAGAAAATGTAACTACTGAAAACAAAAAATTACATTATTCTGCATCACTTCGTTGTGTGCTTAGACACACCGTATTACAGAATTTTGGACCAGAGACTTATAATGAATGTTATAAAAATATGTGTAGTTTTTAATGAAAAACTTGTAGGTACTTAATGTTCGAAAATATACTATAATTGTAATGAATTGATTTTAAAGTCATTTTGCCATAATTTTATCAAAATAAAACAATAAAACCATGAACTTATTTTTGTAAATAGGCCTTAAAAACGGCACTTTTACACGTCAAAATTATACTTATATAAGAAACTAGACGAAGCCGGCATTTCCTATCTGACAACTCTGAGAAGCAATGCCGATTCAGTTTGTTTGGTTTGTCTCTTTCAAAGTCTTCCTAAGGCTGCTTTTTCAATAATCAGATAAATTTTATCTGAGGAATAAAATTGTTGCTATCACTGTCTTTTACAAACATTCTGACGCGACAACATTATAATTATTCCGCAGGTAACTTTTATCTAACCATTGAAAAATCAGCCCTTTAAGAACAGAATGGTAGCTCTGGTAAGCTCGAAATTTCTGAAGCGTTTTGCAGCTTGCAAGGTATCACTAAGCATTTATCTTGGATTTTGATGCCGTATTTTCCTTATGTTAAGACAAGATTATTATTATGTATGTCTCTACCAATCACGGGACCACAGGGTCCCGGTCATTTGGAAGGCGTACGAGGGGCCGGAGCCAACTGCGCAGAGGCCCTTAAGACAACTTTAATCTAAATGAAATGGGACACACAAACCGGCGACTATCCCTGTATGCACTATGGAAATGCACCCAAGGACAGTCCCCGGTTAGTGTAGGACTATTGCGGATAATGGAAACAAAATACAAGGCTATGGGTGTGGGTTGCTATTGGCTAGTAGGATGGGAACTATAGAAGGACTATGGCACCTGCCGAAACAATGTAATTTATACACGTAAAAATGGCAGGCGGAGACTCGCCAACTCACCGACCGGGCCCCCGGGAATGGTTGCTAGTAATAGCAACAGAGGGACAACGGAAATGTGAGTGGCTGAAGGGTGAAGAAACTGCCACCAGCTTTCTACTCAGATCATCTGCATCTGCCTAAGCATCCTGCATCACTGGCCCACTCGCCGCTTACGAACAGCTTCCACCCTCCGAGCAGGATCACTACTCTCGCGACTCCACTCTGGACGGCCAATGAAGGCAAGCCAGAGGTGGGAGACCTGTTCCTCGTCATCGTCCACTCCGGCCAGCCAATGAAGGCAAGCCGGAGATGAGGAACGGTGACTTCTCCCTGGAGCAATCGGGATGATGGTAGCCCGCGGGATCGCTAATTCCCGCCACCTCGCCTCAAGGTGCCCTGCGGGCTTATTATTATTATTATTATTGCTAGTCACGAAACGTGAATTTTATAATATGTGCGGTAAAGTTTCATTTATTTTTGTATTTTTATTATTTAAGTTATCTTAAGAAAGCTAGTCTAGTACGTAATTTTATTGAAAAGACATGTTTAATACAGTAAATTATATTCTAGAATGATTAATTTTGTTTTATTTCTTTGTCATTTTTTTATGTGATACAGCGGCAAAAGAGCACACGGAAATTCCGTGTGCTCTTTTGCCGCCGAACCATTTTGAATTGCTATCTAATATTCCGTTCACGGAATATTAGATAGCAATTCAAAATGGTTGAGACTTGACGATGTTTTCTAGTTTTCTGAAATTTAATTTCTTAAGAAACTTCTTCTGGTAATAATGATCACAACAAAAAAGGAATTGGTTCGTTATTGAGTTATGTGCCAACATATTTTTTTATATTATTTATAAGTAGATAAATGGTAAAAAGAGGTTCTAATTAAAGAAAAACTAAAACAAAGTTTTACACAATATACGTTTCCTGTGTAAATATGATAGCATTCAGAAATCGAGTTGGTTATGTTTATGAAGTTACATTTTATAAGAATGTTTTGATTTTGATATGCCTATTTAAATTTGAATACGTATGTTAATAAAATAATATTATTGTGATGGAAAACGTAGTCAAAGAGTAAGTTTAAGTTTACAAATTATAACACAAGAGATACCTTGGTTAAAATTAGTAGATATTTGTTAATATTTTAAAATATGTAGATTCAAACTAGACTTTAGGGGTACCTATAGCCATCATAGAGCTAAGACAAAAGCTTCTGTACCTACTTTCTTCATAGCCAATGCTACAGAGTGCCTTGACATTGAAATGTCAATTGAAGAAATTGTCAAAACAGAAAGAACAATGTAACAGAAGCAGCATAGCATCCCATAAAACATGTAAACTTAAAAACGCCTTGTTTTTAAGTTTACTTAGTACTTTAGTGGTAAATTTAAGTGTGTGATGTGTGCATGTCATCTCCCTTATTGCAGTAGAAACAGGGAAGGCAATAGAGATGACGAATCTCGACCAAACACTTGGAGTGGATCTGCCAAAAAGTTTCTTGGGACACCAAATTCATGGTTCGGCTCAGATCCAGGCCGGAGTAGCTCAGCCAGTGCCGTCAGTGGCCAGGTTCCAGGTCGAAGCTCAGTCGTAGGCCAAAATGACGTCACCGCTTCCCGAAGGTCCAGTTCAGCTCCCGGATCCGAAGTTACACGAGATCGACGATACAACCATCGATACCACAACAGAGACGTGTTTGATCCTCCTGGTCCAGTAAGTATTAGCAAGATTGTAACAGTGTAGTCTGAAGAAGTTACTCGCACAGCTTATTTAACTTCTTGATCCCCAAGCGAAACCCGGCGTTCGCCGCGTCCCACCGCGACGTACAAATTCATCTAGGTAATGGACAAAGAGTTTCGCGCGTTTAGCGATTCCTATTTTATTTATTGTGTTATTCGTGTGGTACTGGTAAAGCAGTGTATAGGATACTTAGTTGTTGCTATTAAAGTCTTAAATAAGTTTTTATTTAACAAAGTTTCAGAATAATGTAACATTCAGACGGATAGTCACATATGGAAATCCTGAACCGAAAAGTATTGAGTTATGTGTTATGTAAAGCATCTAGTTAGAATAAAATCTGGAAAGAAGGCTTTTTAAAAAAGATAGCTCTTATAGTAGCTATAAATATCAATGGTTTGTCACAATGCCTACGCTTGACAAACGGTTTTGGAAATTCAGGAATCATGGAAGGTTAGATTATGTAAATTTAAAGGATCTGACTAAATGGAATATTACATGGCAAATGCGTTGCGCATTATTGAATAATAGCTCTGTTTAGAAACTTCCGAGTTGCTTAGAGAATATGTAGTCGCTGCGTAAACGTAACATCCTCATTTTAAGCCCCGATCGCATCTCTTCTTGCTTAACAAATTAATAAATAAAACACTTCAAAAGTATTCTTTCTTTGCAGTGTGGCGGCTATTGTGTGTATTTGAAACAAGCAATATGCAAGTCGATCGCCGACGCTTGCACATTCTGGAGGAGACTTCGCGACGATCGGTTTCACTGGGAGCTCTTCAAAAGTGTCCTATGGTTCACTATAGGACTTAAGCTCTTCAATGACATTACCAGGCATATAAACAATGCCCGTCAGAAGCCCCGCTGCAGGCCAAGGCGTTAGAACGGCTGATAAAAAGAATACCTAAATTGTCATATTTTATTGTGGTCTATTTCCAGTATTGAACGTCTTGCTTAATAAACGCCTAATGATTTTTTGTTTCCGATTTATTCCGTGGTGTTTGTTGCTACATTTATTTTTGTTAGTGTCAGTATTTTAAGTTGTTATGATAAAATTAAGATTCATTGTGTAACAAAAACAAACAATCTCTCATTTCTAGCAACCCAATGTGAATATACCGTCACACACAGAGTTAGAAACGATATTGTTTTGTTCGTTATTCAAATCAATTGATTAATAGTACCTTCACATAGATACACATGTAAAGATTTTAGACTGAAGAATACTCCGAGATGGATGTAGGTATGCAGGTATGCCTGTTTTCTTCTACATCTTGTGAGATTATTGACTACTTATACAAATAGAAGATGAAAAAACAGTTTAGTTATTAAACCTTGTTAATCGAATGAGTATTATAAACAATGTATTTCCCAGACAATAAAAAAAACAGCAACTATAAATAAGTCCTTATTAGATTTGCTTAAAGGAAAACCGGTATACGTGTCACCGCGATGGGGAATCCCTTCCGACTTGACAAAAGGTTGAAATTGTTACATTAAGGGCGTATATAAATAACCTCTATGTACTAGATAAAGAATATAAAACGATATTTGTATTTTACCATGTGCCACATAAGTTTATTAGGAATTTAAGTATATACAGGGTGGTAGAACAGCGGTACTATTGTCTAAAATACTTTTTTTTAGTCAACACTCAATATATTTATTGCAATTTATTTAAACGTTGCCATACAATGAGTTTGTGCTATGTCGTATATTGTCATATTGTACAATACCGCCGACGACCTATCTTGGCAGTCTGAAGTTAGCCGATTAGCTGCGCAGTACACAATTTTGTTCCTAAAAGATCCATTGCGCAGACAAACGGCTAACTTCGGACTCGCCAAGATAGGGCGGCCGTACTGTATATCATGTACAATTTCACATGCACGTCAGGACCAGACCCGATTGCTTACCATCAGGTAATTGGTCTGCTTCTTCGCCGACCTATGACATATACCTACCCCCCGCTTCCCCTCTCATATACTCGTAAAAACATAGGGATTACATACCTTCATAACCCGTCTAGAGTTCCAGAATAGAATTAAAGTGATAACCGGTGAAAACTTCAAAAGTATCGTAGAATATATAGGTATTTTGTTACCTTTGTCGAAGAAAGATGATATTTGGATCCTCAATCTCCAATTTTTTTCATTTCCGTTATTTTATGGGCGGCTATATCGATAAATTTATAAGTGAGATAATTTAAAAGGAAAAATATTTAGTTTTAATTCCGCGACAAAAATCCAGGCTTGTTGCAGGATGCAATCCCCCTCCTATGCAATCATGCATATGCACACGCAGCAAGGGTAACATGCATATGCACACGTACAAAAAACGGAAAAACATGCCACGCAATCAAACCTATACTCGACACGTGTTTCGCCACTCCACAGGGCATCCTCAGGAGATGTTGACTCGACGAGCGCTCGGCTGCGAATGAAAAGTAATTAAAACTAAATATTTTTTCTAACATTTAATGTCATAGATTTCCGCAAAGTAACGCCTGATTCTATAAATTTTGTGAGATAATTGATAGAAATTTCGTATTGAATTATAATATACTTATTTAGCAGTTTATAGAAACAAAACAAGCCCTTCGTACCTATGTAGCTAATATTTTGCAAAGGTAATAAATTAAACTAAATTAATTGTAAACTATATTTAAAATTTACTATTTTAGTTTTATTTATTAATAGATATTTATAGAGTTGAGTCGCTAATTAATAAATATTAGAAAAACACGTTGAACGTGAACGTGATACTTAACAAAAAAAAACCACAAATTTACATAAAATAATAATTTTCGGTCGAATACAATTAATACTCGTTTCCTAAATAATTAAAAGGAATCAAGGATGTGATTAGAACGAATTTATTTTTTTCTTTTAAGGAAGTTTTTTTAATGGAGACATCTAATGAAGATAGTTAGGCCTATTTACGCGTAAGCTACTATTCGGGTAATAGAACATAAACATATAACTTAATATTGTTGGAAATAAAATAAACATTATAATTTCATGCAAATATAACTGTAACTAATCGGTATCGAATTAAGTATATATTGTTTTCAGTCAAGATCCGATGACCTCGATAAAATGTAGTTCGGGTACGCTGTTATAGCAGCGGCAAGACCCCTCTTAGTGGAGTGGCTTGAGAGACGCCATGACGTCCTCACCTTCCACCTGACGCAGCTGCTTACTGGGCACGGAAGCTACGTTGGGTACCTGTTTCGGATTCGGTGGGAGGAAACGCCCAAGTGTCATCATTGTGAGGACCATCCGGAGGACATGATGGAGCATACTGTGGCGGTGTGCCTTGCGTGGGCTGAGCAACGCCGTGTCCCTAAGGGAAGTGATTGGCGGCAGTAACGTCTCACGTTCGACCCTGGTGAGGAACTGGGAAGCCGTCTTCTTTTTCTGCGAAGAAGATGCTCGCAAAGAAGAGGCGGAGCGCATAAGGGAACTATCATCTTTACGCCCCAGCCGTCGCAATAGGTGATACTCTGGGCATCAAGGATCTGAGCGACGATCTCCAACCACCGTAAGCGATCGGCTGCGAACGGCGAGAAATCCTCGCCTCACTCTGGGCCAGAGAAGAGAGAAGAAATGCAAAAAAGTTTCGTATCCATGTGCTCGTCTCGATTTTAAATGAAGTGTTAGGTAATGGATTGAAACAGTTTCGAACTTAAATTAGTTGAATCTCGGTAACCCGACACCCAAAATTACCCATTAAACTTAGCTACATAAAGTAATAACTACACAACTTTGAAACGAATTGTGTACATATAATGCAACACTATACAAAACGATACTAGTCGCGCATAGAAGGCATTACAACCTCAGACCAGGTAACTATAATTACATACACGTGTTCATAGCACTTTACTTCTCAAATCTTATATTGTTTCAATACAAAACCCGATAATTAAATGAAATCTTGAGACCAAATTGAACACCAAAGTCGACGATGACAATTTATTTTAAACATTCCACATAATAACACTAAAATGTGTACAAACACCGCAAAATGCTTGCGTCTTTGTATAAGGAAAATCCTAAACTAAGACAAGCGTTCTCTATAATAATAAAACACGCGTCATCACAACATGATCACTGCTATTCGCATTTTCAAAAAATATTTATTGTTGATAACCTTAAGTGTGTGGTAGCGGCTAGTCAGGGCCGGTTAACTGAACTATCAGTCGTGCACGGGCCGTCCGCCGGACAACAATATTGTTGACAGACTCGTTTCGAATTAATGTTTTAATATTTTGTTGTAACAAAAGTGGCGAATGATGAAGGACCTGATAGAGGGGACGGTTGTCATTGCTTGCATTCTCGTCGCGTCATCGTCAAACGCCGGAGGACGTGAGTACTTTTGATTGTCTTATTCACACGTAATTAAACTTAAGACGAGATGAAAAAATATATGTTTTTAAACTCTGGTGACCTTACTGCATAAGTTAACCTCCGCAATCTTTAGCGTACGGACAACTTACCCATCTTGAGAGCGTATAAACATAACTTTATTTGTTTACTTAGCAACATAATGGTATTTTAAGCAGCCATTAGTTAATTGTCATGTAATGAGAAACGTGATCTTTACGCGTCTTTATACCTACTCAGATAAATATGAAGGTGACAGTTTTTTAGAGACATTTTTATCTATGATGCATTTAATATAAGAACTAGCCTCCTTTATACATAAACACGTTTACTTTTAAATGCCAATAATTAGATACTTATTATAAACTACAGAATGTGAAATTTATAATTGGATACGTTAGTAACTTGTTTTGCTATCAAATGTTGAATTAAGTGGTTCTAAACAAATAAAAGATTTGGTTATGTCTTTGTAAAGAAGCCAAGGATTACCAACCACAAACAGCTCGTTGTAGCTTTTGCATTAAGAATTTACTCATATTCATTATTTAGACTGTTATATGTTCAACGCGTATAAAAGTAATGTATGGCCTGGAATTTTATTAAGCTTGTTTGAAGATAAGTATAGCTTCACTAAGCACAAATCAAGCATAGGAAAATAGCCTCAGAATTCAGTAACATTGTAGCTACCTATCAGTGAAAGAATTTTGGAAATCCGACCACACCGGTTCCAAGAATTCACCCTTACATGCAAACTTACAAATGTTACCTCTTTAAAACATTAGTATAGATATCAAGATCGATTAAAGACGTCAAAGAAAGATGTACAGAAGTGGCAATAAGTATAATATGTGTATTTTTCCTACCCTCGTAGGCATAATCGTTTACGTAAATACTAACGAAGTACTTAATAACAACAATAAATTGTTTATTGTTCGTACACAATTCAATTAACACAATACGTATGATTGTTTCCAACTAGTCAAAATTCGATACATGAATTGAAATGTTAAAAAGTATACTTTTGTAAGTTTCTTGTCAAATCACAACATGTGTGACGTCATAATGTTTCTAAGTTCGTTGATGTAATAGTTTCTTTCAGATGATACATGCTAGAATATATCTTAAAATATAAAAATATCAACAAATCAATGAATGTAAGTACGATTATGTTTTAAAAATTAGGTAATTTTAATGAAAAGTTAAAATAACCCAAATTATATGTAAGTATAATATGTCCGCAAGGCAGCTTGTGGCGAGCTGTTGGGCAGTGGCGACCCCACGGACCTGACTCCCGGGAGGTGTCTTGTTCTTCATCTCCGGTTAGTCCTCGTAACGAGCTGGAGTGAACACTGATGAGGAGCAAGCCCTCCTACCTCATTCTTGCCTTAATTGGCTGGCTTGAGTGGAGATTCGCAAGAGTAGGAGTTGAAGGAGACTCGGGGGAAGGATGTATCTCAGTAAGGTGCTGGTAGGGGTCTTGACCGTACTTCCGGGATTGCTCTGATAGCCGTGGGATACCTCTCCTTCCCCAAGCAGCTCAACGTATGTTGCCCCCGTGTCGCTACATGCTAGCGGCCGTTTCCGGGGGCCCATTAATTGAGTTTGCCAGTCACCCCCTGTCTGTTTATCCGTATGTATCAATATTGGTCAGGGGCAGGGGCCATAGTATTTCCATAGTTATCATATCTACCAGTCCATAGCAACCCATACCCATAACCCTATATATTTTTACCACATTTCGCAATAGTCCTGCATCAACCGGGGATTGTCCTTGGGTGCACTTTCATAGTGCATACAGGGATAATTGCCGGCTGATGTCCCATCACATTTAGATTAAAACTGTTCAACGGGCCTCTGCGAGTTGGCTTCGGCTCCTCGTACGCCTTCCAAAGGTCCGGGACCCTGTGGTCCCGTGAAAGGAAAGAACAAGTATAATATTATTATAGGTACTTATTATAAATGCGAATGTAACTCTGTCTGTCTGTCTTTTCTTCACGCCTAAATAATTGTACCGATTTGTATGAAATTTGGTGCAGACATAGTTTGGAACATGAGAAAGGGCATAGACCAGTTTTTATTTCAAAATTAAATATAAATAAATTTCTGGGCGAACGAAGTTGCGGGCGAAAGTTAGTTTATTTATATATGAACATACCTAGTTATCTACAATATGGGCCATATTGTTAACATGCACAATTGTAAAATGAACTTATATTTTTGAGGTGGGAAACCATCAAACCTCCCCCGCCCTAAGTGAGGCAAGGTGGAGTATGAAATTCTAATCTACTGACTGAAAACCTCTCCATTCCTTCTTCTGCTCTGGATCAGGAGCTGCCGTACATAAAAGACCTTTTTTTGTCAGGGGTAAATCATGAAATGACCTTTCCCGCCCAGGGTAAGGCGAGAGAGAGTGTCAGACTCGTACTGACTACAAACCACCCGTTCATTCTTCTGCTCTAGGCCGAGGTCGCGGTGATTCATCGCCCTTAACCCGCAACCCCGGCTGGACAACAGCCCTATAGGGCCCCATCTGTGGTGTTCTATTGGCTCTTTGAGGCGCGCGCGGAACGCTAGCCGTACGCTCGGGGCCGTATATAATAGACCTAAGCACCTGTTTCTAATATGCATCTACAAAGAATGTACACTTTATCACGATAATGTCATGCCTTTCGCCATTAGATTCGTATTAAGTTAACTGTATAATAATTATAGTTTCAAACACGTGTAATTGGACATGTTCTAGTATTAATAACATTTACAAAGAACATTAAACTTCAATTAAACATGATACGAAGACATCGTGCTTTCCAAGTGTGTTATTACATTGGTATTGGGAAGTAGATGGTATCATTAGGTCTGTGGTTTCATGGGTAACGGTGTTAAATAGCTCAAAATGTAGGTACCTATTAGAAAATAATTTAGTAGTAACCAAATTATTCTCAAATAATATCTTATCTCTGATTTATTTCGTTACGGGATCCAAGACCAATCCAATTCACGTCCCTAGGACTTCAGTGTTCTGGTGTTTTAAAGGTTGTATCTATCTTCAGTATCCTGACATTTCTGAACAGGAGTTGCAGTGGTTTTGGGAGGTTCTGGCGGGCTTATGCCACCAAAAAAATCGAATTCAATTTAATTCTCAATGAGTCACCGCGGCCTCGGCCCAGAGCAAGAGAAGGAACGGGGGAGTTTTTAGTCAGTAAGAGTCTGACACTTTCTCTCGCCTAACCCTGGGCGGGAGAAGTCGTTTGATGATTTTCCCCTGATAAAAAAGGGTCTAATGGTAGTCTGAATTAATGAAAATATTTGTAGCGACAAACATCGAAGATTTATAACATTCAATATTACGTAACAATTCGCGTATACAAAAACCCAACGTTCAAATGTTAGGCAGTGGCCCTCTAGGCTTATCACCTCACCAGGACCTAGTCGGAGGATCATCCTTTTCCGATGATAGGGAACTATACTCTCAGTTCCTTAAATGTGTATTGTTCTTGTAAAGTTAAAAATGCTTTGATTTTGTTTATGATTTATCTATTGAAGTAACGGTTGTATTGCCCGCTTGCCAGGCGATTGTATCGTTTATGGCATTGAAATAAGTTTTTGATAATTGAAAAGATAATATTATCTTTTACCTATTCCTATTTTTCCAGAGATAACCAAGCAGGTTGTAATGTAAATTATGTTTAATTTGTTAAATAGAAAAAAAAACGCTATTCCTATTTCGAATGGTAGTTGTTCTAACATTTCAATATCAAAAAGAAATCCGGTTTGTTCGAATGCAATTTAGCGAGGATGTTCAGTACAAAACCACAAGATTTTTATTAATTGACGATATTTAATATTATGATACCTAACCAAAACGGGTTTTTGCTTACAAACTACTATATCACTCAACCATTTAAGATTCACCTCAAAGTGTAGAAAAACGTTTTACTTAATTGCTTATAAATGTTATCGTTTTAAGTGTCATTAAACTATTGGAGTATTTATTCACTGTACAGTTTTGTTGTAACTCGCTTCTGGGATTGGGTTTCTCCGTATTCCTGAGATAAAAAGACACAATATATGTCTCAATCTGTCTCCTATACATATATCTTGCTAATATTATAAATGCGAAAGTTACGATGTTTGGATGTTTGTTACTCAATCACGCCAAAACGGCTTGACGGATCTGGATGAAATTTGGCACAGGTTTAAGATACATTCCATAGGCACAGGAATAGGACATAGGCTACTTTTTATCTTAAAGTATACTTACTTATAGTTACAAAAATTATGAGAACTCATAAACATCCAAACTGTACCGTAAACTCTTGCTAAGTTTTTTAACGACTAAATAAGTTTGAAGTATAGGTACCATAAGAATATTTTTTTTCAACAAATCGGAGTGGGTTTCGTAATATTTAGTATTTACTATATAGTGTATGTAGTAGCTATGTAAGCTGCTGATGATACATTGACGGGTAGTGAATACCAAGCAAGGTTCTCTTCTTTCATGCCAGACAAGTTTATAATACTTTTTTTAGGAGGTAAAGTAATCGAAAGACTTCTCTTAACTTGGGTGGGGCAAGAGGGAGTGTCAGACTCTTACTGACTAAAAACCACCCCGTTACTTTTATAATACCTTTTAGTACATTTTTGTGTTATGGCATTCTATATTCGAGTACAGTGAGTTTATCTGAGGGTGGGGCACTACACTGAAACAAGTGCTTAACTTATACCAAGCGCAAGTTCGGTCCTGGGGCCTAACCATGACATTCAAAATAAGACTGTTTTAATCTAACTTCAGTGTGGGTAAGAGAAAGAGCTATACAAGTTGTCTAGCTCTGTCTAATGTCTCTTACCTACACTGAAGTAAGATTAAAACAGTGATAATCTCACTTTGAACGTCATGGTTATTAGAAGGAACGGGGGTTTTCAGTCAGTAAGAGTCTGACACTTTTTCTCGCCTAACCCTGGGCGGGAGAAGTCATTTGATG